GTACAAAGTCAACAAAAAAACAACAACAAAAAAAAACAAAAAAAAAAAAACAACAAAAACAACAAATCTATAATTTACCACATTTAAAACAAACGCAACACTACAAAAACTAATTACAAGCATACAATGGCAAAGCCTTTCTAGCCATTTTAACCATAAGCAACACAGCCAATATGCATTAACTGGAAAACATGGTAGACAATCATCCCAGAAGGTGTTTGCGAAATAGATGTGTCTTTAAATCGGTTTTAAAGGACTCGAGTGTCTGATTGTTTCTGAGATCGACAGGAAGGGCGTTCCAGATTGTTGGACCAGCAAATGCAAAAGTGCCCTTTTCGTAAGTCTCAAGACGAACACGTGGTGTCGAGAATTTGCCATTATCGGATGAGCGGAGTTGTCTAGTGTGTACATAAGGCATCAGCAGTTCTTTCGATAGGACGGCGCCAGGTCATGTAAGCAGCGGTAGCACAAAGTTGCGATTTTGTACTCTATCCGAGCATGGACCGGCAGCCAGTGCAACTCTCTCAGAAGTGTTTTAGCATGGTCGAACTTGCGTTTGCGAAGAACAATGCGAGCCGCATCATTCTGTGCTATCTGAATTTTATCCAGGAGCGTAGCTGGAAGACCCACCATGAGAGCATTGCAATAGTCCATGCGTGATAGCACAAATGCAGACATCAGCTTCTTTGTTGCATCAATTGTTAGGAAGGGCCTGATGTGACTAATCCTGCGCAGATCCAGAAAAATCGCCTTGCATAGCATGTTAATGTGCACACCTGAGAGAGTAATTGATGTCGTGTTAATCGCAGACTTTTGCTTCTGAGCGGTCGTAAACGCGTAAAACACAGAATTCTCAAGTGTAAAGGAAAATATCTTAAAACAATTTTCCAATTCTTAAAAAAGAAATATTATTCTAATCTCATAGAAATTTACACCCATTTTTCCATGAACTTAACTTTCGCAAACTGCAAGCAAAAAATAATGATTTTCATATTTAAAAAAAAAATATTAACTCATCTTTGTTACTTCAAAATAAAAAAAAAAAGTATTGCTCAATTTTGTGAGATTAAATTTTCAAGAGTGATTGGGGTTTTGATTGTTTTTTTTTTTTTTTTTTTTTTTTTTTTTAATGATTTTCATATTTAAAAAAAAAATATTAACTCATCTTTGTTACTTCAAAATAAAAAAAAAAGTATTGCTCAATTTTGTGAGATTAAATTTTCAAGAGTGATTGGGGTTTTGATTGTTTTTTTTTTTTTCTTTGTTTTTTTTTGGAGGTATTGGTCTACTTATGTAAATGTACCAAATGATTGCCAATGCCCTTGAACTATATTTCCTTAATTGGTATAACATATTTTTATTTTTTTAAAAAGAGAAAATTTTACACCTATATTTCACGACTGTAATATCTTTGGTTTTAAAGGTATTGTAATGCACACAAATATACACACTCTATTCCCTCCCCCTGATATGTGTTTACCGAAGAAGATTATTTATTTCTCGACTTCACTCCTTCATTCTTAGTCTTTCTTGTGCTGCCTGGGGCAAAATGAAAATGTAAAATTCCCCTACTCCCATAGTTTTTAATTAACATTAAAATCCTACACGGGATGAATGCCCCCTTATGTACGCAACCATAAATTTTTGTCCTCGCCCTTGAACTTTAATAAAATTGTTTTTAGCACCATTTTATCATGTATTGTTTTACATTTTCTAAAAACAAAATGGTCTACGCATAATTCAGTATATTAAAAAATTTTGGTTATAAATCTTACAAATCTATACAACCAAAGTTCAAATCTGGGTTTTGGGATAGTGAAAGCAAAATGAACCGATTGCAACTTAATTTATTTGCTCTCATTTAATATTTGGATGAGTGAGACGGTGAGAAGTGAATTGGTGACTGGAATTTGGCTATGGATTTTCGTTGTAGGTTTCTAAATGGATTTTTAAAAATATTTTTAAACTTTAGGTTTTTATTACTCTATATCTATAAATTTGATTAAAACACATTTTTGGAATGAAAAATACTTAAAACGTATTAAATGTTAAAAATACAAAGCAAATTTTTGTTGCGGTGTATTATACTATTATCATTAACATTTTAAAACGCAATCTATTATATCTATTAATTTTATTTAAAAAAAAACAAACAAAACACTATTACTATTATTATTATCAGTTTTGCCACACGCGGTTATTAAATGAGCACAAGTTTTAAGCAAAAAATTAAGTTCTAATATTAATAAGATTATTCTATATGTTTTCATTGAGCTGAAGAGAAGATATAATTTGATACAGGTTGAAGTAATTTAGTAATTTTGTCAAACAACATAATTTTAATATAATTTCGCAATATTAATAAAGCAATAATAAACAAAGAGATGTTTGGGTATTCCCGATAAATGTGATTATGACACCGAGCTATAATATATCTTTATCATGTCTATGGGACTATGGATTATGATGATGTCGATGACGATCATGATGAATTAATAACAATAAAACCAAGATAAAAATTATTTGATGATAAATCAAATACATATCATATCTTGGACATTTAAATTAAAAGTAAATTCAAAATAGTTTTTAATTGTTATAGTCACAGTAAATGTAGTTCAAATTAATTCAATCTGATACTTAAACATATATTGAAAAATAGGCAGATATAATTTGTTTTTATTTTATATTTTATTCGATTTCCGTAAAATAATAGAAAATTCACTATCTTTGTTTTTAAGCATCCGAGCTTATTTAATGTGTTCGCGTTTTTATGGTTATATTGGATGCTCTACCTCATTTTCTTATTTAAAATATTTGTAAACAGATATATTGTGTTTTTATTTTATTAGTAATGTTCCATATTTATTTTTCTATTCATTTTTTTTTAAATGGAGGAATCTTTGGAAAAAGTACTACCTTAACAGTAAAATGATGACGCTTTCAAGAAACGGTCAAAGAAAAAAGGGGAATAATAAAAAGAGGATTTCAAGGCCAATAAGTATTTTGTCATAGTATAAAATATATTTAGTAATTACTGAAAAAGAATGTTTAATATCACAAGAGTATTTTGAATAAAAATTATTGGCACAATAATAGTTTTGAGTATAAATTATAAATATTTTATATTTTGAAATGAATTTTATTTTTTATTTCAATTTTGTAACAAATTAAAGCAAATTTTAAAACCATTGAGAATCTGATGTCAAAATTTAATTGGTGGAGTTATACTTTGGATTGTAATTGTCGTTATTCAGGGAAATTCTGATCTGTAATGCCTACGGGCATTCAGAAAAGAATCGTGATGATGGCGGTGCATGATTCATGTGAGTTAAAACCGCGGGATAGAGTCCTTAGCAACGCCTCTATTCCACTTCTGACCTGCTAACGACCAATGTCTCTTCTTCGGTCTATTAGTATGTGTGTAAAATCATACAGGTGTGTGCAAAGTTACACAGCATCAAAATTTTGAGTCCAAACATTTACAACCTACAAACACACACTTACATGGAAATATGCTGCGAGATCGCGCAGCTTTAAATAATTAAGGGAACGTTGCCAACGCCTACCGTTCAGTAAAGACCTCTTTAATAAGAGTTATGTAAACCCATGGCAGATCTATTAGATCAAAGATTTTAAAGATTAAAATTTTTCAATGATATATCCTGTTTCCTCATAGCAGTGTCATTTTGTATACCTTAAGGTCTTTGCTAATAGAGTTCATGTGACTAAAATGGTTCGCACTTGTGCGCTTTTTAATGTGTCAAAATAAAATTGTTTCCCATAATAGACTTTTCATACACTTAAAAATTTCCGGTAAAAAAATATAAGATGTAGGCCTGAGGTACATTTCTTTAAATTCACCCAATCGTTCTCGTGACGAGTCGTGATGCAAGTAATTATATAGCTTCATTAATAATACCAAATTATTGAAAATATCATGGTCACCTCTATGAAAATCAAAATGGCTAAGAAGCGTCTTCATATTTACAGGATTGCAAGCATTGATCTTTCAATTGAATGAGCTCTGTGTTAGATAAAGCCTGAACATGTGTAGAGTAGAAACAATTGGCACAGTGTTAACTAAATACTCTTTGATTATTTTTAGTTTGATAGCTAATATGTTAATGTTAACATTCTGTGTTTTTCAAATGTCCCGAAGAAAGATTATGTGAGATCGTTATTACTAATATCCGCGTGTTTCTTGAAATCAACTTTTTTTGAAAATGCAGTGCACATGCAAAGAAGTACAATACATGAATCTGTAGATATCCGTCTCTTTACCGGTAAAATTTATTTTAAAATTTCAACATTTAAGTACGATTTGATCAGTAATCCGCTAAGGCCGCCCGGAAAATTTTGCTTCCTCTTTATTAGTCCTTGCACAAAGTCTGAAATGTTAAATATTATGACTTTCTATCTACTTGCACCTCCTCTTGAAAAGTAATGCGTTTTTTTTCCTTCTTTTTGTTTGTTTTGTTTTGTTGTTTTTTACCCGTTTTTTTACCCACGTAAGACTTTATTTGAAAGACGAGTTGAAGCACGCTAAAAAGTAGGAACACATTTTATAAAAAAAATTAATTTTATAAAAAATTAATTTTATAAAAAAATTCTTAATTTTCAATGAGTAATGAAAGTTTGTGTAGAAAATATGTTTAAAAATTAGGGGAGAGAAAAAAACAACAAACATTTCAGACAACAAATTTAAATTTTAATATCTTAATTGGAATCCTTTGGCTTCATAAGTGCCTTATTACCCTTCTGCACATACTTTATTTGAGTTATAAATTTTGAAAAAATGTTAAGAATATTATTTTACACCGTTTACTGCGCTTAAACTCGTCTTCCAAAGAGTTTAAAAAAAAAAGTTATAAAAAAAAAAAAAATATAATCATCTGGGGAAAATCTGGGGAAATTGTTTTGACTAAACCTAGGGAATTTAAACATGCGAGTGGCAGATCTGATAGTTACCGGTTATTTCTTTTTACTTTTTACCACGAATCCACCATGGCTGGTACCAAGAAGGTCTCGGCCTCGGCATCTTCAACAAACAAGTCTTATTTTAATTTAATTAAAAGGATGATATCAGATCCTGCATATCCTCTACCAGCAATGATTGCCCTTTTACTTGCAGAAGTTGTTGTGAACCTATTGGTTATCGTTAAAATAAAGTGTAAGTTTACTTTTTAGTGCATGTGGCCGTGGCATGTAAATTTCAAATAAATTTGTCCCCTTGTTGCCTTGTAAATTGTAAATCATGATGATGATGTCTGACATGAATGTCATATGCATTTTTAAATTTTATAATTATGTGAAACTATTCGTCGGAATCGATGAGTGTTAATAATTAATAATACCATGATTTTATTCATGCCAATAATGCACAATGGTTGATGATGATGCGATGGATTCTGTTTCAATATTTTTGTGTGCATAGTCATAGTGCATGCATTAGATGCAAGTTGAGATGAAGGGATGGATGAGACATCTCAAACTACATGACATAACAAAGTCAATGAGTATTACTATCACTGTATTACCATAGTAGGGTGAACCCAGGCATTTTTGGCATGTCTCTCCTTTTGTGCCTTGTAGCTGCTGTTCTGTTGGGCCCATGTTGTATGGCATGGAGTATGGAGCATTTATGATTGTTTAAAGAAGAATACCACAATGCACAGTCCTTTGTTTATATTGATGAATCCGGCTAAAAGGAAGATGGGGCTAATGTAAAGAGATAGCACCCTGGTTCCGATAGGGTCAAAACCCAGGTTAAGGAAAAGAGGCTTTCAAAACTCGCCCAAACAACAATGAAGATCGTACCAAACTTATACTAACCTACCACCCTCACAATTTAACTGCCAAAAAAATATTCCTAAAAAATCGTAGCATACTTCTTGCTGACCCTGATAACAACAGGGTTTTCTCATCTCCTCCACTGATTGTCTATAGACGGGACAGAAATCTAGGTGATCTTCTGGTTCATAGTTGCCTTTGATCTGAACCGTCTTACGTTGGTACTAAACCATGCTTAAGAGGCCGCTGCAGGACTTGTCCCTTTACACTCCAAAATGAAAACATTGGCCTCCCTAAAGGTACCTTTATCATTAAAGAGGGTTTCACCTGTGTCAGCAGAAATGTAATATATGCGATTGTTTGCCGTAGATGCCAATCTAGTTACATAGGGGAAGATGCCAATCTAGTTACATAGGGGAAACTGGGAGAAGATTGGCTGATAGGTTTACTGAACATCTAAGGGATATTGAGGAATGTAAACCTTCCCTGGTCTCTTCTCATTTCAACCGAAAAGAACATAAAGGTGCATTGGATGTGACCATTACGGCACTGATTTCATGCAGTAACACACCAGATAGGGTTAAAATGGAAAATAAATTTATTCAGCTGTTTGGCACCATATCTCCATATGATATTAATCAAATAATATCCTACTGATGTTTCTCTGTTTCCCTATATTTCATCTATTTTCTTATTGCTGTGTGTTAATGTATCCCTGGATATTCTGGTCCATTATTATTGTGGACTTTATTTTTCACATTGTCAATATTTATATTCTCTCGCTTCCTGTTTTCCCACTTCCGGAGACACGAATGAATACTGCTTGAGTTGTCTACTGTGCTCTTTTCTTTGTTATATTTTCATTTCTATTGTTGGCTGAGGAAGACTTTATGCCAAAACGTCCTTGTTTTTTGTCCTGTTATCTTATTTCAAGCTTCCACATACCTCGTTTCGCTATTTCATTCATTTACCAAGCTTGAAAGCAGTCCTTTCATTTATATCTTAAGGCTAAAAATAGGTTTAGGGTTCAGGTTAGGTTTAGGGATTCATTTAGGGTTAAGGTTAGGTTTAGGGATACATTTTGGGGTTCAACCGTTCTGGTTAGGTTTAGTTTAGGGATACATTTAGGGTTCAGGTTTGGTTTAGGGATACATTTTAGGGTTCAGGTTAGGTTTAGGGATACATTTACTTAGATTTAGTGACAGAATTAACTGCTCTTGTCAACCAAGATGGCGGCCAATCATGGCATCCTATCTTCCAATTTACCATGAATCCTTTCAGTGAGGCTTTTGGTTATCTTAATAGTTTTTATTTTGTTCATGATCATACTGCCTTCAATGCTCGAGCTCGCCTTGAAATATTATTTTGCTAAAGCAGTTGTCTGACATTCTCATGACATGACACAGTTTACAAAGCTGTGACTGCATTAAAATGGTAAAGATGCTGGCTGCCTGTGTGAGTACCTATGTCTGGGACCCTGTACTTCCTTTTGATGTTGAGGAATTTCTGGTTCAACTTCTTAGCATTGCATTGATAGACTGTCCATGTTTCACAGACATAAAAAAGCCTAGGAAGCACTGCCACCTTGGAGAGGTATCAGCACTCTAACTAAAATAAAAGCCTACACTGTTATAATTTAATTTATAAACTTAAAATTTAGATCAGTAAATGGACTGGTAGGGTAGGGAAAGTGCTCCCTTCATCAAATTGGCTTGGGCCTATGCATAATTCAATGTATACTTGACGTAGCAACTTAATTGTATATCTCATATTAGCTTCAGAACCTGCAGAAAACCTCTATTCACTCCGTTCCCTCTTTTAGTCTCAGTTGCTGGTTTTTTAAATACTGAACACAGCAAATTGTAGACATTTGTAAAAGAATTTTTGAATAAATTATAATCTGTTAATGACTTGTTTTCTGCGGAAATACGACCTGGAAAACCTAATTCACACATGGCTCAACTCATAAAATCTAATTTAAATGATCTTACTCCCTTTCAATAAACATTTTCATTGTCATCAGTCTGGTTTATCAATATAGTCATATTGTACTATTTAATAATAATGTTTATTAAAAAGCTGATTGATCGTACTATTTAATAATAATGTATCACTTAGCCTTTTAACCGTTTATTCTTTCTTAACCATTTATTACATTCAGTTCTTTACCTACCATTTCATTCATTGGCCGACCTGTTTACCCTCAAACTCTTAAAATTGTACAATATGGTCACAAAATCATTCAATACATTATCTTAATAGTAAAAAAATAAACATACAGTATATATAATGTATACACTTCAAAATTGTACTATGTACCGGTACGCCAAAATCATAAGAGTAAACAGGTCTGGATTGGGGTGAGAGCAAGGTTAGTTATAAAGAGCTTTCTGATCCATTCTGGTCAGGGGGCGGTGTCATGTATCTGTGATGAAAATGTCTAATTTGCATACAAATTTTAACCATGGCCCCTGTCAAAATTAGTCCAATATAGCATTATGTCATTTATGGATGGCCCCCAAATTAAGTGGCTTGAACACATGGTAAATATTGTTGATCAACTTTCCAACTTATTTTTTAAATTTTTTTTTTATCAATTTCTGTTAATGTGAAATCATTTAAAGTTGTTGAATAATATTTCCAATGCCTCATTTGCATGTCCATCAATTTCTTAATGACAGATCTTTTACCAAAGGGGCCAATGCTTATAACAAACAGATTATTCTTAATAACTAAATATTCTTCTTAATAGAATCATGGGTACTCATATTAATGAATATTTCTATGGATACATTGTTCATTGATCCTTTTTTGTGTTTCTCTTTTGGTTAAAAAATTAAAAAAACCATGATCATCTTCTGCCTGTTAGTTCCCATTGAAAACAGACATGTATTACATGGCTATCTGCATATAGATAATTACACAATATGCTCTAGCTTATTATACCTATGGCATGCTGTAGGTCTAAATTTCATTTACTGTTGATTTATCTAGATACAGAAATAGATTGGGTGGCCTACATGCAAGAGGTGGAAGGAGTTGTGAATGGAACTTATGACTACATGGAACTGAAGGGAGACACTGGTCCATTAGTGTAAGTTCTTGTATTGAGGATGTTTAATTATTATTACTAATACTAGCCAATATACCCGGCGTTGCACAGTTATTGCATTAGGACTCCATCCTTGTGTGACCCCGATTCCATTGGAACCCTAATCCCATTCTGACATCGATCCCGGTGCAGTTCCGTTTCCCGGTTTTATCCCGATCCCGGTGGACCCATTCAAGGTTGGGATCTTGATCCAGGTGGGATCCCATTTTCTGGTGGGATCCTGATCCCTTTGGGATAAAGATTGTGGTGGTATCCCGTATAAAAAAAAATTACTCAGTGTTACTGAGAGAACAGTAAACTCCGGGACAATATAGAAATGAATAGAATTAACTAAAATTTCATTATCCCTTAGATTCCACTATATATCCTTGTGGAACAATTTAGAACTTTCTGGAACATTCTAGATTAAATTTAATAGCCTGCTCGAAACATGTGTAAAACTACTTTTCTAATTGTTTTTTGAAAAGATAAAAATCTTAAACAAATAACATAATTATAATCCTTTTTCTTTTAAGTTAATCATGGGGCCCCTGGGAGGCCCATTCCATAATTGTACCGATTTAGCTTTGCCTGAGATAGGGGGTCCTATAAATATCAAACGGATAAATAATAGAGTTAAAATTTAAAATGTGTCCCATTAAAATCTACTTAAAAATGCCATAGTTATAGCTTTTTAAAAGTATCGAACTTTCTGGAAAATTCTAGATCGACCTGAATGGATTGGATATTATTAGTTTTATTTCAATATGGACAATGAAGTGTATTGCTACCACGTTAGGCTTAAATCCATCAATTGTCATAGAAACTATAGTGTTGTCTAATCCCATTGATATTTATATAGGCTATATAAGAAAAAATGAAATTGGGCCCCCGGCCCCAGAGGAATGGATATTATGAGTTCAGTACCCTTCGGTATTTAAATATGGATAATAAAGTGTATGTATACTAAGTTTGGTCAAGATCATCATTTCATGTAGGAGTATTAAGCCTATTGATATTTATATAGGTTATATAAGGAAAAATGAAATGGGGCCCCCGGCCCCAGAGGGATGGATATTATGAATTTAGTACCCTTCGGTATTTTAATATGGATAATAAAGTGTATGTGTTCTAAGTTTGGTAAAGATCCATCCATTCGTGTAGGAGTATTTGTTGTTAATTTTTTTTATATAGCTTATTTAGGAAAAAACAACATTTTCGGCCCCTGGCACCAAACAGAATGTTATAAAAAGTTTATATCCCCTTAAGAGTTCCTCCTGGATCATGATGGATATATGTGCCAGACACCGCCACAAACATTCACTTTTATATATATATGTATATATGATTAAAACACAATAATGAAAAAATTGAGCCGCCTTATAAATTATCAAATATGGAGGAACAGAGACAAATTTCAGATAGGAAGTTGTCAGTCTTCCGCGGTTTTTATTGAAAGCACCTTCTTTGATTCTCATCAGTATTCATCTGAGAATAAAGTTTAAGTCGAAAGTTCATCTTTAATTAAAAAATGAGCCAAGCATTGCATTTCTTAGGCAAAGAAGGAAAGCAGATATTTTCATTTTGTCACAGAAATTCTCATTGAAGAGTAGGCCAGTTTAATATGGTCAGCTAAGTGGCTATAGGAGTACCTACTACAAAGGCCAATATAACTGATGATCTGTCTGAAATCATATTTCTAAAACTGATCATCAGTCGTCCCCCCCACCCTCTCCCCCCAAAACGACACCACATTATTATTATCCCCCGTTTGATTGTAAAATAAATATAAATTTAAGAATAGCATATTTGATTATTAAATATTTATTATACTTAATTTGATATAATTGAATAAGTATTATTAATCTAGATATAATTAAATGATTGAAAACAGATATCGAAATTACTATTTAACAAGGATTATATTTTCAGATATCCTGCTGGCTTCGTATATGTATTTATGGGACTTTACTTCTTGACCGATCTTGGTGTCAACATCACTCGAGCACAGTACATTTTTGCAGGATTATACATTATAAACCTCTTAGTTGTGTTTGACATCTACAGGCAAGCTAAAAGGGTACATTTTTTTTCAATTATTAAATATTTTAAACTTAATTTTTTAATTTTTAAAAACATGCAAGCAAATGATATTATGAGACCTGCCAACGTATCTGATTTTGTAGGAATTATACGGATATTTTACTTCTCCTTCCGACAAACCCCTTACAATTCAGAATTTTCTAACTTAATAGTTTTTCACCCATCATAAAAATCCGAAAGGGAAAAAAAACAACACAGGTATGACAGGAAGTGTTGCATTTGTTTTTACGAAGTGCATACATGTCCGGCGACCGAAAGATTAACTGAATAAGTTCTTGAGATATTCATCCTGCTTTATATATTTGACCAAATCACATGTCCAGCTTAACAAAGTTGCACGAGATATTAATTATGCGCGAGATATTAATTATACGCGAGATATTTGTCCGTCAGCCATGTCATGTGACAGCTAATCGTAGATCAGAGTTTAAAGTACTTCATTTAAACAAATTCAAGATAGTCTGGACATTTACATGAAAAAAAAATATGTTTAATTCTACAAAAGAAATACTAGTACCATTGCTACCAATAAACAATTGGTTAAAAAGTGAAGTTTTTTTAAATAAAGCGTGGCTTGCCCGCCAGATGAATATCTCCCGCACTATTTGTCCAGTCGCCTGACGTGTAGACACTGCCTTGTTTTTATTGAAGCGAACAGCGATCTCCAAATCATTCTTCAATCATCAATTGATCCGATTGTGATTCATCCATTTACTAAGCTAATAAATAATTCAGCCTTTTTTTTTTTGTTAAAGCTTTTGTTAAATAAATGGTTAAATCTATTGAAAAGTGGTGGGAACAATGATATTAATAAACATATAAACATATTTCTCCCCCCCCAAAAGTAACATACAACTGCAGCTAAAATTAAAAGTAAAAGTTATCCATGTCTAATTAAAAATTTCTTTGCTAAGGAATCGGACAATTATGTTATCAGATCGTTTTATTTACCACCTTTCTTATTGAAGGAAAGATTTCTCTAGCCAACTCCGATCGTTTTAATGGCAGAGTCAAAACAAGATTGTGAAGAAAAATTACATTGAAACAAGGGCAAGCATGAAAGTTGATACTCTTTCTAACTTGCTTATAACTAAAATCAAGTGCAATGCTAACCTTCAGTTGTCCAAAGAGCTGTTGGACAAGTGCAAAAAGGCCACAAGGAATATGTTGGAAAATTGAACTCTTAACAGCCTAAGCACATATGTAAATAAATAAAATGGATCTTCTGTCCTGTACTGTAAATATCTGTAAATAAACATTTCCAGTCTGAGGATTCTTCAAAGACAATGGAGGTAACTTTATATTTTGTTATTTATTTAACAAAAAGGCTTGTGCATTAGTTTATAGATTTGAAACCAGGGCCCCCCAGAGCAGAGCGCCGCCCCCCTTGCATGCACTCCCCTACAGATTTTTTTTTTCTTGGCAGATTGGCTGGTCTGTATTATTTACCATAATGTTTAGTAAGTTTTGGTGATTTTAGAATGATTGCCACTTGCAAAATTTTGCTAGATGAAAATGGAAAGGAAATAAAGCATTTTTTAAAGTGTTCTATTAATGATTTACAATCTTTTCAATGTAAATAGATTATTAGTCAGATAATTAGTTAAACTAATATATATAAGCTATACACATATAAGGTACTTTCTACATGTAACATTGAGTTCAATAGCGTACAAAATATAATTCCAGAAAACTACACAAAACAATATGTATATTTGTGTTCAGAGGCAGCGAAAGATTAAGACTCAGATTAAATGGGATTCTTGAAATCAATAATTTCAATAATAGTCAGTTCTTTTACAGAAATCGAATAAATTAAAATCTGATAAAAGAAATCTGCTTTTATGCAAGTACATGTAATCTTAAATATTTAAGCATTATTATTATAATTTAAATAAAATTTAATATATGAAAGAATTATTTAAAATATTTATCAGAATTTGAGATTTTTAGATATTGAATAAAAGATGTTTGTCATTCTTTACTATCATCTATGTATTACTTTTATAAATTTGCTTTTAATTTGAAAGGCATTTTAATTTTTACAAGCAAAATCTTATAGCACATATTTTATAATCTTTTTACATTTTAAGGGTGGATAAAATGTGGAGTTTATATTAATAGTTTTGATGTACTTGGGTGACATTGTTTCCACCATTATAATATCTCAAAACCTTAAGACATTACAGACTTGAATATTGGCATATAGGCAATGCATTTTAAGAAATGTTCAATTATTTTCTACTTTTTAGTGTATTTTAACTCGGTTTTAATAGCATTTCTATAGAAAATCTTTTAAAAATATTGTTAAAATTAAAACTGGTTTTTAAATTTATTTTACTTTCTTTTACAGATTCCACCATATGCATTATTCTTCATGTGTGCTTTATCATATCGGATTCATTCAATCTTTGTTCTGAGGCTCTTCAATGATCCTGTAGCCATGTTATTCTTGTACATGTCAGTGAATTTATTTATGAGGTGCCACTGGTCTTGGGGGTGCCTATTTTATAGGTAAGTGCAAATTGAATTCAGTTGATACCTTTTAGAATGCTATTGAAATTATCATGAAGTTAAGTGCCACATCTTTATTTCTTTACAGCCTGGGAGTGTCTATCAAAATGAACCTTTTGCTATTTGCTCCAGCCTTACTATTTCTTCTGGTTGTCACACAAGGTATTAAAGGAACAATAAAACATCTCACAATATGTGGTTTGCCTCAGGTTAGTTCATGAGCAAATATTTTAAGTCAGGATTATATTAATATACATATTTATGTTGTTTCACAGATTATTAGTTTTCAACCTTTTTCTAATGGGGCACGCTAAAGAAAATAATTTGTCTTTGCGGCAACCCTCCAAATTTTACTTTGCAGGACATATTTAAACTAACACAGGTAAAAAGGATTGTGTTATGAAAAGCATAAGCCTTTCTGCATCACTGGCATAGACACATTGATGTCTTTTTACTAGTTTCGTAGGTGCAAACTTATCATTTGCTGTCCTCCACAACTTCATGATGTCATCTTGCTGTTGTTTTACAAAGAAACTTTACAGTGTGTTGAAAGCTGTAGAACCTCTCAGCAGTGGAGGGAAGGCAGTGTTGTGTGCAACCACAATAAATGCCATCAAATTTTTCTCCATATTCCTCCAGTGCTTTCAAGGACTGTAGCAAGATGTTGTACATCCATGCCAACGAGGTGTACAACCTGGAAGCTGTTGAGAGCTTCTCATCATCTCATGCTCAGTGTTGATTTCAGATGAATGGCAGTTGTACCAAAGCAACAGCATCTATGGCCAAATTTAACATGAGTTTTTGAAATAACTCCAATGAGGACGAAACTGCACATCTTTTAAATGCCTTTGCACAAAGTACATACTTAAAAGAGAAACAATATTTAGCTCTTCTTTTGGTACTTTGTTCAAGCTATGAGTAGAAACGATAATAAAGAAGAATTTGGCCATCAAGCATATGAATAATGAATTCCAAATATACGGTGTTTTTGTTTTGTTTGAGCTCTTGAAAGTTGAGAATTTATATTGAGGCACCTTTTGGATTTCATGTCAACCTCACTGAAAGCCATTGATTTAGGTCATGCATACAAAGGTTTAAGGTACACAATGTTGAATGATCTAGGTTGTTAATATTTATTATACATTTTCTTAAAAATTATGAGAAATTTTCAATTTTTTCCTCAGATCATTCTTGGGCTTCCCTTTCTCATTTCCAATCCAACTGGCTACATAATGCGATCCTTTGACCTGGGCCGTCAGTTTTTCTATATATGGACAGTAAATTGGCGATTATTGCCTGAGGAAATTTTCCTAAATAGATACTTTCAAGCTGGCCTTCTTCTAGTTCATGTTTTCACCATCTGTTTATTCCTGTGGTTTAGATGGAGAAGGTATATTCTTTTAAATTTTCAATGCTGTATTTGCTGTGTCTATAGCATCTAAATTGTATTGTTCATCTCCATTTTTTGTGTGTGTTTTTTTGCCTGTTTATTTTTGTCTTATGTGAGGTCATGTTTATAAAATTGAAATTTCAGATGTTTCCCATCTTTAAAGATCCAATGGTCCAACAAAAACTTGAAACAACACCTAAGTCCTGATCATATCCTTTTTCTTGTACATAAATAAATTAATAGACTACTTTCTTGTTTAGTTAATGGAATACTATAATAACGCTTACATAGGTGCTACAGACTTTTGCATGTATTGCCGTACATTCTTTTTTCTTTCAACGTTTTTTATTCTTAGAACATGCTATGATTTTACACAATGGTAAGAATTACATTTCCTAATATACTGCAGAGCTGACAAGGAATTTATTATTAATTTCTAAAAGTGACCTGACATTTTCAATAAATTCTTACTTCTAGAATTTGAAGTAGCTGCCCCTATTAAAGTGAAACAATTTGATTTAAAGACTAGATTTGTTTTATAAAAATATGTTTTTATTCATATGAAGTCTCTTAAAAGCAGTTGAATACATGCTAACGCTGACAATTCTCCTTAATTAAAGTACAGATTTTATTCCCCCTGTTCACTGCTAATTTTATAGGGATGTGTTTTAGTAGATCACTGCATTACCAGTTCTATGTCTGGTACTTTCACAGTCTGCATTACTTGGTCTGGTGTACACCATATCCAGACGTTGTGAGGTCAGTACTTATAATACAGTGCACACTCACCCCCCCCCCCCCCCCCCCCCCCCCCCCCCCCCCCCCCCGCAGACCAGTAAAAGGAATATTTTTAAGGCCCCTAGTAAATGGAATTTTATAGTTTAATTCACTATTAAGGTCCTTTCTAAAGGAAATTTTGTCGCCTGTTGCTCTTTGTCTATTCTCATAGCCATGCACGTGGTGTATGGGGTAATTTTGTGACAATTATTTCTTACGGCTGAACCGTGGCTGGTGTAATAACCCCTCTTTCTTTCACCCAATTACAACTTGTGGGTGTTATCAGACTGTAATATGTTAACAGGAAATAGGCATAATGGATATTCTTATTTTAAAAAACATATTTTCCAAAAACATAAATCTCAAGTTACCTGGTAGGTTTTTGTTTTAAAATGACCCCTAATTTAATTACTTATCTTAATAAATTTTATTTTATGCTTATCTGACTTCGAGTTTGAACCACATTAAATTTCACCAGTAACTTTATTTTTACCAGTGACGGACTGAGATAGTGTGATCTGCACGTTCACCTAAAATTAATATCTATAGCTGAGACACGTCTGCAAAAAAAGAAAAAGAAAAGGGGGACAGCAGATTGCATTTTAGAAGATACTTTTTTTTTTTACGTCAGCTTAACTAGAGCAATTCAAGTAGTTATTGTATAGATTATATATACTGTTTGTTTATTTATTTACAATTAAGGCAAGGTACTGTATTTAACGATTTTGAGACAATATTTTACGATTTTAATGTTTAGAGATAACATAGTAGTGCAAAACAAATATGCAAAATAGCTAATTCCATCAGAATGAGGAAAATAATTCCAGAGACAAAGAGTTAAAGCTAAAACATGTTATTGAAATAACTATTGCTGGTATTTGTCAGCATGAGAAATGGCTAAAATATGTTAAACTTATTTGATTTATATAACTTTTTACAAATTCTATTTCACATATTTGCAGGATTCTTTTATTGGGTGTTATTGAGTTCTGCTGGAACACTTATCCTTCTACTGTCACAAGTAGCAGCTTACTCCACGTCAGCCATGCAGCTATTTTAATTGGACTATGGTTGGTTATTGTAAAACGAACTTTGCAGCCTGGGAAACACTCTGTTTCAACCAAAGACACAAGTATTGGCAAGGTCAAGGTTGGATGAGCAAGAATTAATGGTTTGCTTTTATCTTCTAAATTATTTGAGGAGAAATGTAATTCCCAATAATCAAATTACGCTATTAAAAAAAATCTGAGATTATGAGGTTTTGTATCTTGTAGTGAATCAAGGTGCCTTTTCAGTGTATTTACATGTATATAATTAAGGAAGTTGTCAAGAATTTCTTATTTACTATAGTGTTTGATTTTGTCGACTCCGTTGTCTAGGGGGGTATGATCATTTACTACACACTGTCACTGTACACTAGTACACAAGAGTACACGAACACTGGACTCAAGAGTTATTACTAGTAATTAATAATGAGCTTTATTATCATAATCTACAACAATCTAATCTAAGTATCCTCCCATGAGTACTGTGGGTTCTGCTAACAAGTTTAGCCAAAGAACCACACATACAACATGGATCACAACACTACTACTATTTACTATTACAAACACCAACTAACAAACACTACCTAACAATAACGCTGATGCGTTCAGCGTCCTACCCCACTCGCTCTCCCTGCTCAACTGACCACCTGCACACGCTACCGAACTACCCCCTTTCCCTTTGTACCCCTACGCTATACCAGAACTTATAGTTCGCCAGGGACAAAACAGGCGCTCAGGGATTCGAACAACTTGACAGAAGTGATTTCTTTTGTATTTAATTATATTGGAATGACTAGAGTAATGGTTATCAACCCTGAGACAGCACTCCTGCTCACATATATGTACAGTATACCTGTGGCATTAAAAAATATGTTATCGGAATTTGTTTGAAAGAAATTTCGTCGACGGAAAATTGATCGGCGGATATTTGATAGAACGGAAGTTTGTTGTATTTTTTTTTTCAGTTCACACAATCAAATTTACTATATAGTAAAACAAAATAATGCGTTCAAAAAGAAATTTGATGCAAAATTAAATCATGTGAACTGGAAAAAAATTCGAACAAACTTCGGTTTGATCAAATTTCCGTAGATCAATTTTCCGTCGACGAAATTTCTTTCAAACAAATTTCCGGATAATTTCCGGCTACAGTTACAAAGTACTGAACCCATGAAATTTTTTAGTGTATTGTAGTTTCTTCAGGCCGACATCTTTAAATTAATTTGTGCCGACTTTCATTGGCATGTCTTCTCACAATCATGGACATTACGTAGTTAAAGTCGGTTGGGAATTTATATTACAACCTTAATATTTATTTTAATGATGTTGGATTTTTTATTAAAAAAAAAGGGGCTTAAAAGAAAAATATTAATGCAGTGTAACTCACAATAGTAGCCAGCTGAGCGGGTGAAGCAGTAGAAAGACAGTCAAGATGTTGATGAAACACTCATCTCCACTCAATTCACAGTATTTCCACCTGCATCTGCAATGCGCCACTCTTCCACCTTTTCAAAAGTTTCTACACATCTATATTCAGAACTCTTCACCAAAGGTTCAGTTCTCTACCTCTTTTATTTGGCCCTGGAGACTATTTGAGAGACTTCATTGTAAAACTAAATCTTTCCTTTCTCATTGTGTGGCCTATTCATCTCTGTTTAATATTGTTTTGTTTAATTTTTCACTCCTCAAGGTCAATTTTTGAATTTCCCCATATGAGAATCTAGTTGGCAGATTAAATTTTTAATTAATTACACTTTAAATAATTTCTTGCATTAGAAAATTTGACATTATCTTATTGCGAACTGTTAAAACATGGTTCTCAAGTAGGCATAACTTTCATAGTCTAGAGATTTGTACACACTGAAGTAATTTGTATAGACACATGTCCTTTGAAGCTTCATGGCATCAGATCTGTTAAAGATAAGAAGATTATTTTATTGATCCCAATAAATAGAAAAGTTTTTTTATTACAATGTGCATATAAATTTTCAGCACATAAATAAATACATATTTTAATAAAGTCACATTTTCCAACAAAAAAAATTTAAGCCCAAGACATCTACGTTAAATAAATTGTTTCGCTAGTGTAGAAAACAGCCAATTTATGAACTCCCATAGTCATATTGGGGGCTTAATTTTTTTTTGTATAAGATAAATGCATTCAGCACCGCCGCCTCAACTAAAAACCATAGACAGCATCTCCACCACTTGTGGCTTTTTTTTTCTGCCAGTAGGGTAGTATGATCTCAGGTTATGACGTTCAAACTATTCTCAAAGCCTTGACGCAAGAGTTTTTTCAGTTATTAATTATGAACTTTTATTCTACTACAATTTAATCTAACAAGATCTCCCATTGGTAATGTGGGTTCTGCTAACATGCTGAGCCAAAGAACTAAACATACCAAAGGGCTCTCTGGCAACACTACTCCACAACCTAACAATAACACGGATATAGTCAGCGTCCTAACCATTTGCTATCCTGCTCTACTGACCACCTGCACAGTACTACCATACTACCCCCTTTGCCTTTAGTATCCCTACACTTATAGTCTGCCTGGCACAAAACAGACTCCCCAGGGATTCTAAAACCTTGAGATATCCCCCCCCCCCTTCCCTCTTCCATTTTAGATTTACCTAAAGAAGTTGAATCGTCACATTTAAAATCTTAAAGTAAATGCGTTAATCCCTTATTTAAAAAATAACAACATAGTACTGAGAGTAGCAATAGTTAAAAAAATTATTTACTAACATTGAACTAGCATGTGAAAACTTCTTTAACTTTTATCTAAGTAGATCCAAACCATGTGAAAAAAATAATTATAACCAAACCAAAATATCATCAAATGTTTACCTCTCTCATCCATCACATTTAACAGTTTAGTAGCTAAATAGCTAATTGTTCTAAATTCACAATGATATCAAAGACACAACATCACACGACTGATCCAACATAGCATCCCCCCAAAATAAACATCAAATCAATCTTCACATATAAAATAAAGGAATTCAATAACATCAGTGCAAAAATGATAAATATGGTTTTAAAAACCGCTCTAGTGTTTTATTGTACTGGTAGCACTATCTAGTCACAGCCGATTGTGTTGTTCCAGTTATTTTACAGTAGTTGTCCCTAAGTAGAAACCTTTTCTAATTCGACGTACTTTCACACACTGGCTAATGACATGTCCTAGTCCCCCGCACCCGTAACAAACTATATTTCTAGCTCTAACTGTTCCTGAGGAATGCCTTTCTGTCAGGCTCTTCTGCTATGATTGAAATACTTTTTATTTGCTTCATTGATTTCTTTATGCTGTCTGTACTCGTTGAAGTTGGCTCCCCTACATCTATTGTTTGTATTGTACCAGTGCTTAAAATATCGTGTCCAGTTGCTTTCTCTGTTCACGCTGTGATGACTTGTAACAGGTATTTGGTGCACCAGTCCACTAGCTCCATAACCTAAGTTTTGGGTTCTGTGTTTCTCATGGGTCAAGTGAATTCTATTTTTATCTGTACAGGTATCAAATATCCCTCGCTGGCTGACCCTACTGTCGCTGCGGGGTTCGTTCGTTGAATGACATACTTTTCTAGAGTTTGGAGTCCTTATCTGACTATGTTCCCTTCTTTTACTTATCATCTTATCATAGTAGTAATAGTAGATTCTTCTCTGTGGTTGACTGCTTTATTTTCATTAGTTACCTCAATCTTCTTGTTTTTACTTTCGTTCAACTTGGCCAGCTGTTCCATATGAAAACACCATTTCTCATTTAGTGATTGAAGTTGAGTTACTAGTTCATCATTTGTAGTTCTTACTTGTAATTCCTCTTGTAACTGAGTATTTGTATTTATGAGCTTGATTACATCTTTATCTTGTTCATCTCTTGTTGATATTACTTCTTTATCTTTATTCGGGCTGCTCTCCACTGTGTTCTAGAATTTCATTAGATTCTTTTTCCTTTGCCTCTTTGTATTATCAAATTTTTCGAGCTCCTTTTTTAATTCAACCATTTCTTCTTTTTGTTACTCACTATACTCATAATTAACTATGAATTTATCTAGGTCTTTGTTTTTGTCATACCATAGATTTTTCATGTGGTGATAGTTTTTGTTCTGTCTTGTGTCATCTTGTCCATTTTCTTTTTGCCCTCCCATCTATCTGACATTTATTTCTGCTATTCCTAATTTTCTCCTCTGATTGTATTCAAATATTATCGGTCTCTATATTGGCAAGCCTGATTTTTTTCCAATTCGGTTTTACAGTATTCTATTAGTTCTGACCCCTCTAACCCAATGACAGTTCCATTTTCTCTAATGGCGGCAGCATGAGCCGCTTTCCCATCCAATGACTTGCTCTTGGTTTCCATATCTAATTGTAGTCTAACTTAAGCTAAAAGTATCTTGTAACACCCAATTAAGGTATTAAACTGACAGGATAATTGACTTATTGAGATGATACGATACAGTTAAATTTCAGTCAGCATATAAATCATAATATATAGAAATGTATCTAAACATGTGTAGTAGTGTGTTGTGTGATGGGTGGTGATTGGTGGTTGGGGCTTGGGTGTACCAAGGATTTGACCCTGCTCGCAGCGCCAAAAACTGTAGTAGTGTGTGGTGGGTGACGTAGGTGATTGGTGCTTGGGTGTACCAAGGCTGCCACTGACAGTTACTAATAAACAAATGAAGAAATGCAGGTCTTGAGGACTATAGCTTTATTAATGCTCTACAAAGCAATCCACTATGAAGAAAAAGGACAATATAAGTCCACTATGAAGAAAAAGGACAATATAAGTCCACTATGAAGAAAAAGGACAATATAAGTCCACTATGAAGAAAAAGGACAATATAAGTCCACTATGAAGAAAAAGGACAATATAGAGCGTTCCAATGGGCCGCACTGAACAATGGCACACTGCAGGGATGCTGTCCGATCTCGAATGACCCCCTACTTAGTGTGCACCTTTTTATAAAGCCGTGCGCGGACATATGAGAGAGCCCCTCCGTCACACTTAAACCAAGTCGGTCTAAGTTTTGCCTTCTGGCCAATTTCCTGGGGTAAAATGCCTAACTCTGGGGACTACACTAGAGTAATAATTAAAAGCCCTAACGACTTATATGTGTCCAGTGCAGTTTTGTCTCAGCTCTCTAAGATGCTATTTTATATTTCTATGAGTTAAATGGTTTTTGAGATATTTTAACTAGAAGGGGTGGGGACCACTATAGATGAAGGTGAAAACACCTTTAATGACTAAATGTTAAAATATCCTCCAACGATGGAGACTTGTAAATATGCTAAGGCGGTATAGTGAATAAAATCCCCTTTCTAACTAGATATAATTTATAACTTAATACGCTAGGGTTCCCGAGAAATAAATTATTGAATTTCTAACTAAAGCGCATATCGTGGTATTTTATTATTTCCTCCCTATGCGCAAGAGAAGCCGGCCATATAGAGACCGTCCGGTTGAGGTGAAAGGGATACCTGAGTTCAACATTCCGATCCAGTGCTAGACGAGGTCACACCGCGCGACCTCGCGTTGTGCGCCAAACATGGTTTTCGTACTAATAGCGGTTGTCTCAAAATAACGGGTCTAATAGCGGGTTTCCAAATAACGGGGCTTACACTGCCACACATGTATAAGTATATGTAAAAATTATAACAAAGACTCATATTATCTAATAACGATTTGGGAATTACAAATCTTAAAATAATATGGTCAAAAATTCCAAACTGAAAACATAAACAAAACAAAGTTTTACACTAAAAATAATAATATTAGTAATAATACTAAGAAGCTATAGAATTGTTTTGCTAATTAACTGTCACTTCTAATTTTTGCTATGGCCAGCACTTCCTTGACAAGCCATGCAGACTAATCTCTCTCTCCAGTTTGTGAGGAAAAAATAGTGCACACAGACAAAGATCACTCACAGTCTCTACCATGAAGTTCAGACAGGGGAGAGGGTGGAGCGGTAATCTTATGTCATTGCCTCCCAACCATAACAACTCTGGTCAGGGATTCTCAGATTTAAGAAGAGAGCTCTGAAGGGCACCCCTTGTTCCTGTAGTTCCAATCTTTAATCTCGATTGATGTCTCATGTTGATTTTATGATGTGATGTCTGGCTGAAACTGTCTTTATGCACTGGAGAAGTTTGTTTAAAGATGTGTATGATGTTATTTCATTATCTTGATTTTTAAAAAATAATAATAATATTTTTTGGTTTGCTGTAGATGAAGTTGCAACTCACTGATCATACAAATCGTAAGATGACTCTTGAAATATAAGAGCCAGAGTTTTTGCCTTATTGTATCTCTACTTGACTCTAAAGCACTTTGGTTACAGTTTTCCAACAAAAAGTCACATGTGCCAATTTATGTCTTTTCCATCATCACTTAATAAGTAATTGTGTAAAACTGGAGATCAGGCAAAATAAATTAACGCACAACTTGCCTTTGAGGTCCGTGGCAAGCACCCAATGTCATGAATTGATTCATGTGGCTCCGTTGTCTAGGTTATGACGTTCACACTGTAAACAAAGACTTGACGCAAGAGTTTTTCCAGCTATTAATTATGAACTTTTATTCTACTACAATTTAATCTAACAAGATCTCCCATTGGTAATGTGGGTTCCGCTAACAAGTTGATCCAAAGAACCACAACACTACTCCACAAACTAACAATAACACTGATGCAATCAGCGTCCTACCCACTCGCTCTCCTCTGCTCTACTGACCACCTGCTCACTACTTACGTACTACCCCCTTTGCCTTATAGTCCATCTGGCACAAAACAGACTCTCAGGGTTTCTAACACCTTGACACAAGACTGCCTATCTGTCTCATTTCACACTGATTGTTATTAATTTTTACCCTTGAGGTCTTTTGGCCAGTGTCTCCTGTTATGGCGAGTCATTGCACATGAATATGTGCCACTGGATAGCAAATCAGATGCTAATTGCACGGACAAAAAGAAATTAACAACAACGTTAAATGTGACGTTGATGTTGCATTGTTATAAGTATTGTGTGATGTGGTTCTTCTTCTTGCGTTTGCTTATTCAGCTCTCCTAATTATCATTTCAATACTTACCGTAATAAGTATGAGGCCAAATTCCATGTATCACATCACAATATATTTATTTGACGGAATATACACTTCACATAGTGTAAAATAAATCTTCTTAACTGGAGGAACCATAATTGTCATTGCCTTGTTATTTCATATACATAATTCACTCAGATTTATTGAATAACTATAGAGATGCTATGAGATGTACCTTAAACACGGCCAGAGCCTATCCTTACTTGAATCTTCTATCCATCCTGCATCCTGTTTACTCATACTTCTGCGCTTGACATATTAATAATATATAACTTCCTGTTAATACTAAAATTGCGGAAACAATACATTATGCGAAACAATTCATTATTCATAGTATTAATATTTGAGCTGTTACAGAAATAAAAATGATGGTTTTTGTGTAAACATGGGTGCCTAATTTTTTAATGACATTTTAACCCAGTCCATTGGGCATCATTGTGTTTGATTTTCCAGTATAAAAATCAAAGTCTATAATATGGGCACACTATTTTCATCCTGTAAACAAAAGAGGTTTGTATAGAGGCAAATATCTTCCACGTAATGACCAGATCGGTTACGGTCAGTGTGTTGGTAGTTAAAATCAATATAATGGCCTGTGGGCAGGCTGATTTATATTACTGGGTTATCATACACATTTGAGTTACAAAATATTGGTTATTTTTGAAAACTTGGATGGTTAGGGTATCTATACCGTGATAAGATTTGGCCTCAAGCAGTTTCATCGGGAGGTTATTTTGTACCACTGTGTCCAGCCCTCTGCATTGTTTACATCGGCAGTGGTACAGGGAGTAGCCCTTTATGTGAATGACTTACCTTTTAGTAGTATTTCTTGGAAGAGTGCCGCGTCCACACCCCACTTGTGGAGTAGCAGATGTATCTCGCCTCCTTGTGTCTGATACCACAAATGTTCAGTTGAATTATGGATAGGTTTAAAGGGGAAGGGGGTGCGACCTTTGACGCTGCCACTCATGCCGTCCAGTAGTGTTACCTCGCGTCAACCTTTCCCCCGATGGTGACATAAGAGGAGATTGGCTCCCCGGGAACAATAGTCTCGTCTCTCTCTAGTCCCTCCCCGGACACCATCAATGGAAATCTCCTTTGACTTCATACATGTAAGACATAACTGTAGACACTGCTGGAACATTTAGCAGTTCATTTGTTGACCAGTACAATCTGTAATCAGGCATTACATGAATGCCCAACCTCTTTCAAATTTTTTCTTACCATACTACTTAAAAACATTTTAATGAAATTTAAATGAATTTTAAATTAAAATGGTAAAAGCCAAAGCTTTCATTAGATATTTATTTATTAATATTCATGATGACCTCATTTTTTATAAAAAAGAATGTAAATGTACTCACCCCCCCCACCCACCATTTTTCGATGAATGCAGAATGCATGCGTGAACGAATTTTTAAAAAATTTAAATATTCCTGCTTCGGTCGAAAGTCGCGTTAAGCTTTTGGTTTCCACTTCGGTTCGGCCGAAAGTCATTTTTAAACAATAGTCCTACAGACTGTCCTAACCCCTACCTGCCGGCCTTTTAACAATGGGCTTAAAGACAGACCTAAACAACAACCGTGGCTCCTTATTGCTTAATATAATAGTCGCCTCCACGTGAACTATTTTTTCACTGAGTTCACTCGTCACGCATGGCAGCCCTTTTAAAAAAAAAAACTCTATTAAGTGCTATTAAGTTTATATATATAAAAGAAGCTTGATGTCTGAGAAGTTCACCGGTTTCCATGTTGTGTCTGGTTTTATAACAGCCCATTCCAGTGCATATCGAATAGTGTCTGTAACACAGAATGCCTCAGGTATGAACAGAGAAAAATAATCATATGCTGTGAAAGATTCATCAGCATTAATTAATATTGCTTGGACCTACAGGTTCATTAAGGGGGTAGGCTACCAACAAAGTATTTTTTTAAAATAACAAACTTGAAACAACTATATTTATTATGGTCATATTCAGCCATGTAAGGAGATATATTTTCACCCTTTAAAAAAAAAAATAAAGTATATAGTTGCCATGACAATGGCGGCCATCTTGAAAAAATTCACCTATTCGTAGAGTTCTAAAATTGTAAAAACAAACATATATTTCGCTTTAAAAATGATTGACTCATGGACTTTAACTATATTTAGAGGAACTGAGCAAGTTTAATTTTCTTAAAAAATGTAAAAACATTTTTTTGTTGAAATTTTTAAAAATTGCCTCGGCAGAAAACACTAAAAATATATCATCATAAGCAAATAAAAAATTCATTAAAGAAAAGTAATAGATCAAATTTTGTATAGATCATTACCCACAAAATAGGTACAGGAAATTACACATCAAATTTGATGACTCTAGCTTTTATATTGGCTGAGAACTCAAAGTTATAAAATAACAGAAAAAAAAACAATTTTGAGAAAAATCAATTTAAACTTAAGAAGTGGAAAATAAAATGTTTATTATAGAAATATGGTGATGTTACATATTTTTTTTGTCCGGGATCATGGACATGATCATTTAAAAAGGCAATCAGTTGTTTAAAGCCCCAGGAACAAAAGTTGTGTCCCCTTCTTCAACTTCATTGTGGTGCTGTCGCTCAATGCATCTTTTTTTTAGATGCTTTCGTTTTCACTTGGAAATTGTTGCATTAGGATTTCAACATCCTTGTTGAGTACTTGTTGTCTAAAGGCCCCCACTTTAATTCAATTTTCTCCCTGACCATCTTTAGTCCCACCAGACCACAGTTTAATGACACAGTGGCAAGTGATGTTGCCGTCACCTCTGCTGCCATGGAAGAAAACACAGTTTTAGGGCAGGGCAGCCAAATCATTGAATTGAAACTGTCGTTTGCATTCTCCGTGCCCATTTTAGCACAGCGGTGAAGCAGACTTGATTCTGTCAGTCTTAAATAATGGGGTAGATAATACTCCCCACTTGCTACAAAAATATTGGTCTTTAATGCTCTCTGGTAGTGACACCAAGAGTTTTTCCCCTCTGGACAAAGTCTCTGGTTAGGTGCTTTGTCGGAACTCATCATAGGAAAGAATCCACCCAATACTCCTTGTTTCATTTTAGATACATAAGAAGCATTGTCTTTTCAAATTTTCACATTAGTGTTTGTTCATTTTTCAATAACTGGCTTTGTGAGTTTGCGATTTAAAGTTTGTTAATTTGATTTTTTAAACATTTTCCAAAGTATTAAACATTCTCTTTGCAATATGATTTATAGAGTCCTCTTTTGTTACTTCAATGTCATAACATTTCTGCACTTCGTTTAATAATGCTTTTTGCATCCCCGTCACAAAGCATTGTGCCATACATTAAATTTCTCTTTTCAATTGATCTTGAAAAGATCATTCTGGCTGCCACAGTCTCCATTGCATTAGAAGAGCACTCTGCATTCTTCTGGCATTTTGGTTTGTTGTTTCCATCCAGGTTAGAAATTCAAGCGAGCCTGTCTTTTACCCAACTGCACACATTTTACAATAATTCTGATTACCTGTGTTTCTAAAACTAGGCCTCTGTCCACGTTGATCCTAAAACCAACCCCGTTGTGAGATAAATGGCCTCGCTTTTGCCAAGTGTCGTCATAGGACACAGTGATGATGGGACACCCTGTTTTGCTTTTGGCTTTGTCAGGTTGGGGTCTGGAGCTCTAGCTCTCTCACAAACAACGCGAGCAGCTTGGCACATTGCTTCATCTGCTCTTCTTTTTCTGCTGTGCTGACAGTTTAGGACAACTTATTATAGGTTTTGTGGTGCATCTGTGTGATTTAATATTCATGACTGAAAACAAAGAATTCAACTTGACGTACCCAATTCCATAGTCGTTGCAACTTGTTCGGTAATTTATGTCCAACTGCTTATTGACTTGTGGAGATGTCCAATCTGCCCGCTCTGACATACAATCTGGACAGTAAATTTTTAAAAGGGCAGCCAGACTATTTTTTTTTTTTGTTGTAAATAGCTGTTGGCCGTTGCTTCTACAATTTGCATATCCCACTGCTGATATGAGAGACTGGAGTAAGCTTTGATGTGTACGAGATGTTATAAAATATTCCATCGGTCGCATTATTGTAAACAGTGAACTTCTGCTCCGCTGTACTACTGTTTAGGGGTTCAGTAGTTTCTGCTGCACATTCTTTGTCCTTTTCAGAAGATTCATTTTCAATATCTGACTCATCTTCTGTAACCTAATATCAAAGCATACATTTTTTGTATTTTTTGTTCTGATCTAGTTGACGTGTCCAACTGGTCACAATCAATCTCTACATTGTTAAATAGGCCTACATCTACACCTATCAAACAACTGTTGTTTACATATTTTTGTAAGCCTTTTCCTACAATTTTCTTTCTCTATGTTAATTGATTTCCAAAAAATTTAATTTTTTTTGGGCTTGAAGGTCCATAAAGAAAAGCCAAAACAACATCCAAACGGAAATACTGAGTGTAGGAGGTAACTCATTATTAAAGATCTTCATAGGGAGCGGTTATTATTTATTTAATATGTTGTTATGTGATAGTTGTTCTCCTCCATTTTGTCTATTTTTGAGCATTCTGAGAGCCTACCCCTATCCCTCTTTAGACGTCAATAACTAAAAAACTAAATAACTAAATGAAAATTATTACTTTCTCTCCGAAAGAGAAATGATAGCTGAATAAAAAATCTGGGGCTTTCAGTTTCTGTCTTTTCTTTTACTTTCAATAAAATGGCTTGAAGAGTTTAGTCTTTGTTCTAGGGTTTGTGTCATCAAATCTGCTGTGGAATTTTGTAGTTGATCGCTGCTGCATCACACAGTAGTGACACCAGGCTGTGCTTGAATGTAACTAGTTTCATGTTGGCAGAGCCAGCTGGTTAACCCATTCAACCCATGTCACATTTTTTCCATGGAACATAATAAAAAAAAAAGGACCATAATCCCATTCGATCTGATGCTTTTTAACTTGAAATCCCAACTTTCAATTTATCCAATCTTTGTCATGTAGCATAAGAGAATTGAGCTAACTGTACAAGGAATACGTTTTTATTTATAAAATAGTGATACAAAAATTACATAGAGAAAAATTTAGTGCTACTATGACAGAGCTAAGCAAAAGTAACAACAAAAAAAAATTCTACCTACCAGCTCATAAATCAAGTAAGAATAATCCAATCAAGTTAATTTTTTTTCAGAAGTTATATATCTAAATCATTAGAAAAGTTTTGTTGCAATAGCTCAAGAAATTTTTGCCAAGTTTTGAATTTTTTTCCAACTTTTTCCAAAAATTAATAATAAAAATAGCCAGACACAAAATATTTACACATATTTACAAAATATATATACAAATCTTGCCATCATTTTGAGTTGAAGCTCATTGAAGATTACTTTAGGATGAAGGTGAGGTTTGGCCTCACAACCAGAGCAATAAGCACAAGACCGGTCCCGTTCTTCGTAATCTATGATTTGCTTTGATCCATTAGTTCTTATAAGACCTCCTGTCTCTGGGCCCTGTCCTGGTGTTATTACCATTGGGACAAATATTATATTCACAGTTAGCTGACCTATCAACATAAGTTTATTAGTCCTTCAGACTCATTTTGTTTTGATCTGCTTTTTAGCATAGCAAAAACAGAATGTACGAATTGACCTGGGTGATTTCTAACAACCAGAAGAAAATCCCTTTCCACCATTTTAAGTTTTTTTGTATATATATTCAGTGGTCTGTTACCTTCTGATCTAGCTTATCACAGTGATTTTTAGCAATGAGATAGTCATTGAGTTTTCTGGAGGGGTAGTATCTGTCAGCAAATATTTTGTGACCAGTTCCCACATGTTGAACCAAAGTGTAAAAACTTGGACAGCTTGTCCTCAATCTTTATCTACTTCAGTGTTGTATGAAATATTTGGACAGCTTGTCTTCCATCTTTATCTACTTCAAGGTTATATAAAGTACTCGGACAGTGTCGAAGTGTAACTCTTGATGTCCTGTGGTCATCCACTCTTCTGATCCAAGACGCTCAACCACAGGACATCCCAGTGTAACCGACAACAAACACTGGATGTATCGATATGAGTTCAATGTATAATTTTAATATGCCTCGTAAGCCTGACAAATGAATGTACTTCACAATGCAACTTGTAAACTTATCAACGTTCAACTTCACTATCTGTCTAGCTGAATCCTCACACATAGAAAGCGAAGCCTTGCACATCACACAACAAGCTATGTCTTGAACAGCACACAACGGCTATCTCTCTCCTTCCATCAACAACGAAAAGTAACGCGTCACACACAATTACGTCACAACACTCTCCACACAAACGATACAGATACACACAAAATCTCTAACTAAAAATCTTTTCCCTATAAAACATGACAACAATGTTCTACACATAACAACAGTGATTCTCATACCCTTGACAGACAGCTTGTTCTCAATCTTTTTCTAATTCAGTGTTGTATAAAGTATTCAGAGGGCTTGTTCCTCATTTCTATCTACTTGAGGGATATATAAAGTATTTGCACCAAAATATCTCAAAATGTCAACATAACACTACTGTTGTCCAACATCAAAACCCTCATGTTGTGCGTTTACCAATGCTACACCTTCTATATTACCAACAGCCAAATTTTGTAGCCTTTCAACATTCACATGGTGTAGGGGGAGTTGTGGCACAGTGGATCAGAAATCTTATTTTTTTTTAATACTTAAAAAGTTTTCATAGATATTTTAATGTTGTATGTGCAAATTGATTTAATTACATTTTGGACATGGATAGGAATCCTTAAAATGTGGCTAAATATTATAGACTTGCTCACAGAGCATTTCAAAGTGTGCAGGGGTAAGTGATTCACTGTGCCCCAGTACAGGGGCACGGTGAATCACTATCTGGGGCACAGTGAATCACTATGGAGAAGATGAATCATTACTTGAAATTGACTTAAATTATAATGAGGATTGTGAATTCAAAGCAATTATTGCACTAAAAGTTATTTTTTATATAAGAACCTGTTATAAATTTAAATATAAACAGTCATACAACCTCCCATAGACTCATAGTCATAGACACTAAAAAATGCAGGCAAACAATTTTTAAATTAATATGTTATTTATTTGTAACACCAAACAATTTAAATTATAAAATAACAAACAATAATTGCAAAAAATCAACGTAGATAATCACCATAAGCTGATAAATCTATATTAAATTTGAAATGGCGAGCAACTCCAGCCGTCCCTCCGTGGAGCAGTGCCCTGGGCAATTTACCTGCAACATCCTCAAAGGTAATGGAAGATATATCCTCAACTTGAGGAAACACAAAGGAGAAGGATGTAGGTCTCTCGCGCCGAAAAAACTTAACTTCATACTCCATGTCATTAATGTTTACAATTTGTCCAATATACATTACTAAAGTTTTTTTTTGTGGAAAACTTGACCAGCACATAATCATCACAAGTTAAATTACTGTGTCCTGGGATGACTATTTCACTTTCAGAACATTCGTCGTCATTGTCACTGAAATCAGTGGAGTCATCACAAAATGTTATTTTTTCAACTTTGTCACATGAGTTTTCCTTATCACTACCAGTAGGCCTTTCCAAAATAATTTTTTACAAACTTTTGATGTTCTGCAATTGAGTTTCTGTTTCTTTGCTTGTCTAATATTTTCCTCGTGCCTCAGCTGCTCTTTGACTGGAGTATCAGTCAGGATCATTGTTTTTCCTCTTTTTCTACCTCCCTGTGTTTTTCTCGGTTTTACTTTTGGAAATGGGCTAATGTCTTCTGGTAAAATTTTTGAGGTTGAGGGTTTGTCAATGCCTATTGCGGGAGGAGCAGAAATCGCAGTTGATGACGTAGGAATTGCCAATGGTTCGGTTTTTGTATTTCCATTATTTTCATCAAAATCTTCAGTCTCTACTCTCTCTGCATTCAACATTTTGGTTTTTACTTATGTCTGGTTGCTGAAAGGGACGATCAGTAACATAGGATGAGAGAAATTCCTCTTCATTAAAAACTCCAGGATTGAATGGAGAAATTCCTGTGCACTGAAACCCTGCTACAATATTTTTGGGTGTAAATGCCAGAGGGTAAGCATTGCCTACCAAGCTGGCAATATCATGAATTGTAATTGGTTGACCAGGGTGATTGATCATGAATGCGTTGGCAGCTTGGTTATAATAACTTTTAAAGGGACCGTACACTGCTCTGTCAAGTGGTTGTAGTGTGTGACTGCAATGAGGAGGCAATGTTAGCATTACAATGCCATTTTCTTTTGCAAGATCAATGGTCTTGATTGAAAGGTGAGTTTCATGGTTGTCCAATATTAACAGGACTGGGTGCTTTTGCGAACATTTTGTTGACAGGATGAAATGTTCCATTTACAAATAAAAGTTATCTGCTGTCATCCATCCTGCCTGATGCGCAGTCCCAACTGTTCCTGGTGGAGCCCCATGCAACATAGAGTTTTTTAAGTGAACCTTTGGGAACTTAAATGGAGGAATTGAATTTCCAGCAGCACTAACTGTACCGAGCATGATTACCAATGAACCCCGCTCAGCAGAAGTAATTTTTCCGACTTGCCGATCATTTTTACAAGCAATAACTTTGGTATTACCAAATTTTTGTACAGTACAGCAGCCTGTCTCATTATAGATATCATTAGGGCCAAATTTATATTTATCCAGTATTTCCTGAAGATTGTCATAAAAAGCTATTACATCCGTTTCATTAAAGCTTGTTGTTCTTGCTAAGCTGGTCGCTGCTGGTGGCTGCTGGTCTCCGCAGGGTGAGATTATTGGAACGTTTCATAAAGTTCGAAAACCAATCTTCGCCAGCACTTTGATTTTTATTCCATGAGTCTGTAATAGTCTTTTTAATCCCAACTGCATAGTCAAATGCGACTTTTCTTGCTTGATTTTTAGTAAGACCATGCTGAATTTTAGAGGCCTTGACTAGGTCATCCTGTAACAATGATTCTTCTTCAACATAAAAAATTTGGCGATATTTATAGTTTGGTGAAAACGATGTATGGTCTAATCCAGCTTGCTTAGCCTTTTCAACATATCTTCGGAGACTTGAAAAATTGATGTAGGTCTCTTTGCCGACTGTCCTTATTGATATTCCCTTCTCCAAAACATGTTGTACAGCCTCCTTCATGACTTCAGCTGTTATATTACCAACCTTTCAATTTGACTGTCTGTTTCAACTGTGAAAGTACTTGACCCATTATGTTTCGAGGGGTTGCACTAACTGTTGACTTCATGGCTTGCTTCATTATACTTCTAGAAATGTTGGCTACTGCTTTTTGGGGATGGAATCATGACAATGTTCAGTGGGTGGTCTCACTATAGTGTCATTTTTTTGTCTTAATATTTGAATGACACTTTGTAGCTCGATTCAGCCGGCATCTCCAAGTGAGCACCCCATCATTATTGCGGAAATAAAGATATTCATAACCCAAGTAGGTTAAAACTTGCTTGCCGCTTTGACTTCTCGAAAATTTCATGGCTGGGACTATAAAAATAAGAAAGAAAAATAATTTATTAATCCGATCTTCTTACAAATTAACGTAAACTTTCTGTCTGTAGCCATGATGAAGCTTAGCCAAATTATTTTCACACTGCATGAATAACATGGCTTGGCTTCATCACTAAAGTATAAATTGATTGGGACCCCAAATATACTTGTAGTTTAGTTGTAGCTTTTACTAAATTTTAGGTGAATTTAACTGGAGCTGAAGGCCACCCTAAGGTTAATACTTTGCAATAATATTTTTAAAACCGTTATAAATTGAACAAGATACATTTAGTTGTGTACTTTGATAGTTGTTTGACCACTACTTAGATTTTGATTAGGCCTACTACTGCAATTTAATTAATAGCTACCAGTCCTTAAGTTACACTACACATTTTGATAAGCTTGTATGTAATTTTATATATGTATAACTTCTAAGTTAGTATTAGTTCTATAAAATGTACGGATGAAGGTATGCTGAAATAAGATGAATTTTTGAAGCTTCTAAGAGCAATTTAGCCAGGTTCCATGATACATGTATTAATCAATTTGTCATAAAAGTACAAAGCACATTCTAATAAAGTGTTTGGACTTTTTGGAAAATATGTGTTTCTGAACTGTTATTGCTATAGTGAGTGAGATGTAAATTAATTTAAAAAAATATAATTAGGCTTATATTTTGTCTTGAAATACTAAATAAACTTAGGCCTTAGCCTTAGATGGGTGGGGGGGGGGGGTAAACTTGAATTAACCAGTATACCATATTTATAATTTTATAAAATCATGCTATACGTCTGCCTATACTAGTATACTATCTATACTTAAATAAAAATTAATTTATAAATTAAATACCATTAATTTTATATAGAATAGGCTACAAAGGAGGCTAAATTTAAAATGTTCATTTATGGTGCCAAAATATGCATCAAAATTTAAAATAACTTATGTTAATAAATTATGGCATGATTTGTCCAAAGAAATGGATTGAGTTTTAACTGAGATCGAGGTCTGAAAACAATAGAATTAGAATGAGGCTGAAAGCAGTTCGAACAGTTGTTAAAAATGTGCGCTATAATTCGCAGTTAATAAAAAAATTCGCTATTTTAGTTTTTTTGTTCAAATTATTTTTAAATTCAATTTTTATCATACTGTGTCACTGATTCGTAGACTTTTATTCTTCCCAATTTGCCTTTTGTGCTGATAGGCAACTGATCTGAACCATGTTAAATATAAAAATGTGGCTTTAAAGAAAATGTCATTGAAATTTGCACATTTGTGTGTGTTCGCTATTGTCAACGTTCGCATTTGTCGGTGTGCGCTTTTTTCTGTGTGCGCAACTGTCGGTCTGCGCAGTTTTCCTGTGCACAACTTTGTATTTGCAGATTTTTCTGTGAGCGTTTATAGTTTGCGCCATATTTCTGGCCATCTCACGCTAGAATTAGCAATGCTGTATAAATAAAGATGGCAGATGAAATTGCGCATATAATGATGACATCAGCAACAGAAATCTCCCTGTGATTTGCTAGAAAATACCACTAATTCACTGTGCCCCTTGATCCACTTTGCCATGACTCAACCTACAGTACAGTCTACGGTTTGCACATTATCACAATACACCTGGTGTCTCTTACAGCGGCGAAGCGTGGGTATCGGCCGCCCGGGGCGGAAGACAATTTTGCCGCCCTCTTATTTAGGTATTTCAATTGAATGTATGCTATGCATTACATGCATTAATTCTAGAGAACTTTTCGGCAAGAGCAGTCATCATTATTTTGCATTACACAGGTTAGATTTTAAATAAGAAAGTTTATCTAAATTTTATAATCATGTTTATTAATACAAAAATTATTTTACTTCAACCACCCAGATACATTGTTATAACAGGTACAATACCTATCACTTAAGATTAGGTACAACTTGACGATCGACAAGATTAAATAATTAGCTAATTGAATATAAGATGCAAGTCAATTTTTAATAAAGACTAGAACTATACTATTAAGTATTTAATATTTATATTTTTATTGAAAAATAATGTAAGTACTTCTGAGAATAAAAACCAAACTTCCGTCTTTCATTAAAAATGTATACGTCTGCTTTTTTTAAGAGCAAAGTCCTTTAGTGCACCATCAATGTCTATAACATCACACACCTCTTGCTCAATAGACAAGATAGCCAAATTAGATAGTCTTAAAGTGCTCATTGTTGATCTTAAATAGTTTTTAAGGGTTTATATCTTTAATCCTTTGCTGAACTCCTGAATGCTTTACAATGCTAAACCAAAAATAAATTTTAAAATGTACAAAAAAATGTATAACATTTTAAAGCTATACACACCTGATGTAAATCTGTTTGCTTTCTCTCACTTTCACAGTCATGAAAAGAGCTTTGTTTAGTGCGATCATCACCTCTTGCCATAACAGCAGCATTATCATATGCTTGGCCTCTACAGTTGCTTATATCTAGGCCATCAACTGGAAGCTTGTTCAAAATCATCTGTGAAATTCCTTCAGCAGTTTTGTCTTTAGTTTCGATGAAATCTATAAAAGATTCCACTACTTTTACTTTCTGATTTTCAATTACTACATATCTTAATACCTGACTTGTTTGATCTTTATAAGAAAGGTCTGGAGCGCTGTCGAACATAATCGAATAATACTTAGCCTTTTTTATTTGTCCGATTGATATGTTGGCGAACATTATTTCCCAAAATGGCAATAAATTCGTTTTGGTATTTGTGGTGACATATAAGTGATTAAAATTTTGCCACACATTTTAGATGTTACAAGATGTTCACGAAGTACAGGATAGTATTTTGCAATTAGATGAACCAACTCTAAAAAGTTTCCTCTATTGGTACTGGTGTCATTTTCTATATGTCCACGCAAAGCCAAATTTTTTCTGGCAAGGAATTTTATAATATCAAACATTCTGATAAGAATTTCCTGTAATTTCTTTGTTTCCTTTGCCACTATGTTTTGCTCTTTGTTGTCAATAGTCTGTCAATAGTCTGTCAATAGTCTGTCCTTTTTGAAGTCTGTGCTCCAACTCCTTCCATTTGCAATAATTTTGGTTGTGTGGTGCACTTAATTCGTGACTTGAAACCTTAGGATTTAATTTCCACCAAGTATTAAATCCATCAGATGAGCAAAATTTAGATCCATTCGGTGCATTTACGTTCTCAAATAAACGACAACAAAAGCAAAATAATGATTTTTTTGGATGGAGAATAAGCCATCCAAGTACGTAAAACTTTTTCGCCGTTAGTCAATGTACGGTAAAACCATTCCTGAGTAAGCCGTCTGGTCTCTCCTTTTGTTGTTAAAGAACACGAATCTGAACGTATTACTCTTGACGTTTCAGCGAAGTTAGTATTAATATGCTGAACAATTTCCTGTCCTTGCTGAATGAGATGCAATCGCATATTGTTGTCTATGTGTTCAGGCCATTTTCCAATATCGTCGAAATTTTGGTATTGAATAGCAGACAATGTCGATGTTATCAATCTCTGTTTCGGAACTATGCATGTCCATGTCTAGACATAGAGATGGATTAACAGTGTCAAGTTCTTGTACTTTTTCAGCTTGTTCTGGGTTTGAAAGCCCAGTTGTCTGTGATGAATTTAAGCCTAACGTGGAATCTGACGTCTCAGGAACAACACTTTTCACATATTTAAGTAAAGCCCCTTCATTTGCTCTAATATTTTCCAACTTAGCTCTTCTCTTATTATGGTAAGATACCCCACTTTCTTTTACTCGTTTCATTTTTTATGCTAAAACAAAAAAATATTACATGATAAAAGTACAAATTAGAGTCATAAACGAAACTATCAAACATTTCAAAATAAATACCTACTAATAAATAAAAATGAATAACTTGCTTTACTGAAATTTTCTGTTTTTTAGAGTTTCGTACCACAAAAGGAATAAACGGAACCTTTATAGGATCATTTCATTTTTCGCAGGAACGAGTACTTACACATATCAAATTGAAATGTATATCCCTTTAACTTTAAACTGTGAAATAATCAAACTTGTAGGTCAACGCGATCAGATATGACCATTTATGTTGTAAAATTTGGCAATTTTCGTGATATTACAAGGTAATCAAAACCTACAGGATACATTCCGTTAGCCTATAAACATGAAGATATACCTATATAGGCAGGTGTATTACAGCACATCTATCTGTAGGGAAAAATCTGAAAACCGTGAATATTTGTACGGAACCCTGAGGACTAAGCACTTGGCCGTTTTTTTTATTTTAAGAAATTAAAGCTTGAACAACATATCAGACAGTCCAACATACAATTACATAAATGAAATACCTTTTTAATACTCACATAGTTGAATGTAGGTACACGTAGCGGAAAAATTAAATTTTTCACGAAGTTCAATAATTTCACAACCACTACACGTACTTATTTCATATAAATAATAATTAATTTATTCATTTTTTCTTACCGAATTTGTAGTTGCGGTAAAGTAAAAATATGAAATGGTTATGAAATGGTTCAAATATTTTTATTATTTATTGTGAAATTTTGCCGCCCCCTAAAAAGTGCCGCCCGGGGCGGACCGCCCCTGCCGTCCCCATTACGCTACGCCACTGGTCTCCTATACAAATTTATATCTTATGCATTATTAAAGTTCATATTTGCAGTCTCCATGTCCAATGAAACATCTTCATAACTACATACTCCTACATTCAGAATTATTGCGTCAATTTTCTTACACTCAGACCCAAGGTTTTTCTACTTCCCTGCTAGCAAAATTCCAAACTGACTCCAGACCATCAGCTACAATAAAAATATTCCAGGCTTCCTTAACCTCAACCATATGGTTATTTAACTTTACCTCTTCGATAGCCTCTATAAACAACTCTTTCTCCCTATACTCAGTTACATTGGCATTGCATTCCTCAGGGTACCTAAGCACCTCCACAACTTCAGTAATATTTTCCTTTAACTCATTTTCAAGGGCATTTTAACTCATTTTCCTTAACCACATGAGCCCCATCTCTCTCTGTCTCTCCGTCCTCCATTTCTCAACATCAGCCTCTTATTTTTTACTTAATTCCTTCTCCACATATTATGTTTTTCCTATCACTCTAACTTTGCCTGTGCTAGTTCTTGGGCTCATTGTTTTTCCTCCAGTTCTTGTCTATCTCATTCTTCCTTTTCTAGCCTAGCTTGTCTATCCCGTTTTTTCCCGTTCTAGCCTATCTTGTCTATCTCGTTCTTCCTGCTCTAGCTTAGCTTGTATATCCCCCTTTTCCCATTCTAGCCTATCTTGTTGTAGCTGTTTGTTGAAGTGGCTTTATTACAGTTTACATACACAAACAATGAAATTTGGTGGTACTATCGGTTGAAGAGAGAGTAAAATCTCTCACACGTCAGCCGATTCGAAGTAGCCGTGGAACACACAATAATTTAAATGTACACACTCAGTAACACAGCTTGATGCACCAACGGATTATTGTCTGTATATCTGTATACACAGTGAAAGATGCGCCAATCAAATAATGATTTTTCACTGATAGCCCATTTCATTGCAAGAAACTCTAACTTTAAGCTACTATATAGGGCTTGATTTGTCTCTGTTGGTCTAAGGTGCTGGCTAGCTTAAGCGACTATGCATCATGCGCCGTTCTGTTCCTATGAGAGAATTCCATTAGGTCCCTCATGGCTAGCATCTTTTTCAAGGATGAAAGATTTTGTAAAATCAGCGTAGCCATGCGTTGGCGCAGACGTAAGGGCTTCCTTAACTCTTTCCATGCCAGGGGGTTTTCCACGTTCGTGCCAGACCAGTTTTCCGCCTACAGAATTTTTTTAGGGTGCTCTTATCTATTAATTAATTAAAAAATACATTTTTTTAGCTATATAGCTGTATTTTATATCAAATTAAAGGAAATTAGACAGAGAATAATAATGTGTAAAAGATAAAACTATATGTCAACAATAGTTCATAATTTACTGGTAATATTTTGTGATCAAATTTTTTTTTTTTTTTTTTAAAATGTGCGCAAAATCTGAACTTACCAGACTTCCATTTGGTCTGTGTAACTGGTATCCTTTTCTGCTTCCATCCTCAGAAAGTATATCCATTTTTGATCAAAATGCATTTTAAATTTTGAAAATATTTTTTACTGGTAATATTTTTTTAAAAAATTTTTTTTTTTTTTTTTTAAAATGTGCGCAAAATCTGAACTTACCAGACTTCCATATGGTCTGTGTAACTGGTATCCTTTTCTGCTTCCATCCTCAGAAAGTATATCCATTTTTGATCAAAATGCATTTTAAATTTTGAAAATATTCCAATTATTGACAGACTTCTACACATTTTTGTAACGTTAAGGTCAACAGAAGTTTCTTTGAATATGTAAATTTTCATTAATGTCAAACACATTATTTACTAAATATTTTATTTTAGATCACATTTCTTTCTGTGTGGTACTTTCTAAAGCACTCCTTAACACACAGATGTGGCCTTCCTGTGCATCTGATGCAAACAAAGCGGCTGCGTTTGGATATTTTGTGCACTGAACAGTATGCACATTGTTGATCACGCCCGTCATAGTCAACGAGGTGATTTTTTTCACCGAGTCGCTCCTCTGCACTGTTGGTGATCTTTTTTCCTGACTTTAATTGGGTGGGCACTGAAGCAATTGGTGTTTCAGGGTTATGGGCTTTAGAATCTCCTACCAGCTGCAGAATGAGCTGCTCCTTGAACTCGGCGAAGGAAACTGGTTTTCGATTTACTGGTTGGTTCAAACTATAGAGAATGTGGCTGTTGACGAGCTACTTCAATGATCCAAGTGAATAATTTTTTCCACCACTTTATTGTTTTGCAACCATGGCAACCATAATATGATACTTGCTGGTCAACACGATCACAGCCATTCATTGACATATTATTCTTGTCAATGACCTCAGGCTTTACAACCGTCTGATGCCCCTCCACTTTCTCAATATATCCCACCTTGCCACATGTTGTCGCCATGAAGCATGGTTTTTTAGCTTTCTTGTCCCTCCATGAAACAGCCAGAACATTGTTTTCTGCATTGGAATGCCACACTGCCTCTTTGTGCGCCAGTCTTTGAGTTTTCCAATCAGGTGGAAAATCTCTGCGTGCTGCTTGAACAGTGCCTGTATAATTGTAGCCTTTTGTTTGTAAATACTTTATGAGAGCTGCTGTGGTGTAGTACCTGTCAGCATAAATGTGATGATGAGGCTGCTTCAGAGGTTGCAGAAGGGTATCAAAAACTTTTATTGCTTGTCCCGCATTGGGATCAAGGGTAGGGTTATATGCTGTGTTCTTGCCGAAGTAGATCAGCAGATTGATAACATAACCTGTTGTTGAGTCACTAAGCCCGAATGTTTTGATATGGTACTTTGCAGGCTTTGCAGCATTGAACTGCTTGTGTTTGAAGCGACCTTAGTATCCAATGATCATTTCATCAATGCTGACATTTTCATATGGATAAAAACATTTCCTAAACTGATCCAGCAGCTTTGACACAAAGGGCTCAATCTTAGCTGCTCCTTGCGCATCAGGTTCAGAAGCATGCACCATTGTGTGGTAAAGCAGCTGAAATTCATTCCTTGAAAACATTTGTCCATACCATGGTGTGTATTTATAGCATTTTTTTTACCAATAGTCACTGATTTTAGGCCTTTGATCCATTCCAATATTTATCAGAACAGCTTAAAACTTCAAAAGATCAGGGCGCGCTTACAATTTGCCATTTATGAAGACGTGAGTGTTCTAAGAGGGGGATTTTTTTCTGCATCACTACTTTACTGTAGGAATTTATTAAAGTCAGCAAATCATCAATAATTTCATCTGTAATAATTTGTTTTAAAAAATCATATGGAGTGGCATTGTCTGGCAAATTTAGATGTGGCCCACTGTTAACCTCCCTAAAATGAAATGAAGCACCAACCTCTGCACCATCACTTGCCTTCCTCCATCCATTATTATTTGACTGACCACCTGTGTCACCATTATAGCTAACAGTAGCAGCTATATTTCTTCCTGATCCTTTTCTTCCTGCACCTTTTCTGCCTGATCTCCCACCTTTCTGTGTTCTTCCTGCACCTTTTCTTCCTGCACCTTTTCTGCCTGATCTCCCACCTTTCTGTGCAGGAACATGAGTATTATCATATGAATCATCACTGTCACCACTATTATTATTACCTCATCTATTTCCATCTACCGACCCATCAGAATCAGAAAGCTGATAGTCATCACTTGAATCAAGTTTGAATGATTCGTTGTTATTTTTCGATGTTTCATCATTGATAATTTGCATTAAAATCTCTTGTGCCTGCAAACTTGACAGCCTACGTGGTCTTGTAACACCTGATGTGCTTGGAGTAGGCGTGGCCATTACTTTGTTTAAAAAATTTTCAACAAAAATCGAAATATTATTCGAAAAACACACGCCAACAAGCCCTACTTGTAACAGAAAGGAAGTTGTAAGAATTATCCTTCGTTTAAAAACAAAAAAGTCTGATTAAGAGCCACAGGAAACGAAATAAACTACATTAATGATATCAACAGTATACTGTGCGTTGGCACGAACGTGACCACTCAAATCGACAGTATACTGTCGATTGGCACCAAAAGAGTTAAGACGCTCAATGCGGCTCAAACGCTTGTTGGTGCCGTTCTTCCCATAGTTGCCCTATCTTGTTGGGCTTCATGTTAGACTGTTTACCATCTACCGTCACTAGATCGTGGAGTGGTCCTGCAATTTTTGCAAAGCCCACGATAAATCATTGGTAATAACTGGCAAACCAGAGAAAACTGCATAGCTCTGTCATAGTTGTCAGAAATGGCCATTTTCTCACAACCTCAACTTTGGAGGTGTCACAGCCAACTCCTTGGGCTGAGATGGTGTGACCTAGAAATTTGACTTCACGCCGTAAAGCTAACATATAAGCCCAGTTACCCTTTTCTGTGAAAGTTGTCCTGAAACTAGTGGTAGATAGTAACTAGTGCTTCACATACGTCTTTTGTTGTCACATTTTTCAATGGAACTGCCTTGGGGCACCGGGTTGCCATATCAATTAATGTAAGTATATATCTATTTTTCTTAGTGCTCGTTTGTAGGGGTCCAACAATATCTATTGCCACTTTTTGGAAAGGTGTCCCAATGACTTGCATCCCTCCTAGCTCTATGGGTTTATATCTACCAGGAGGTCGAGCTTTCTGGCATATAGGACATGTTTTAACATAGTTGGTGATTTCTTTGTTCATGTTCGGGCAAAAAAATTCGGAACAGATACGGTATTTTGTCTTCCTGACGGACATGTGTCCAGCCAAAGCCGACTCGTGAGCAGTTTTTAACACTATCGGCCGGCATTTTAGCGGGACAAATAATTTTCTGTCAACTTTACTATTAGTCTTGTTGGTAAATACCCTTTACAGATACCCATTTCTATTTTGAAACGTGATGACTGTGACGTGACGTACGTTGTCTAGGGGTCGGTCCCCTGAGTACTAGCCACAGAACAATTTTCAAGGGTCTAGAACCGCTGTTGTCTAGCTCCTACAGAGCTGATGTGCTGAATAGTCCAAGTATTTATTAAAACAAACGATGCAAAGCTTCAGGGTTCATATGATTTATTGCCTCCATCTTCCTGACAGTGGAAAAATGCATAATAAACATCTGCTGGTTTTCAGAATACAAAATTTGTGTCCAGAAAAATGCTGCACATAATATAAAAAATATATTTACAGAAGTCCTCTGCCATCCATAGAAAAATCTCCCTTAACAAACTAACGTCCTCACATCCAATCCACCGCGTTCGCCACTGTCACGCTCTCTGAAACTCATCATCCTTTTTTACACACTCCTCTCCTCACGTGGTTCCTCCCGACACAGCACACCGGTCATGCCTGACCGAGAAAAATAAAACTCGTGGGGCACACGGGAAAAAGAAACTCACCCACAATTGGTCAAATTAACATCCTAAAAGCACACACAGAAAAACTCATGCGATCTGACTGTGACACGCCCCCCCTCACGAGTGACGTTTGGTGAAACCCAATGTTGCGAGTTTACACAAAAACAACGGTCAGTTCGCGTGCATATTCTGGTAAACTGGCATCAATATTTATAGTATAAAACATAACGATATTTTAAAAAAAATTTCTCATGAAAGGTCTATCTAAAAACACTGCGTCATCAATCATAATTTGAAAGTCACTACTAATGTTATGGCAATGCATTGTAGAATTAAGACATCTCTAATGAAACATACATGGCAATAGATGAAATAATTACAATTCTTTATCATCTTAACATTTTCCTGCAATCAAATTGAGCATTTATTTTAATACGTTGTCACAAATATTTAAATGTTTTACACCACATGATTTTGAAAAATCTTAATTCAAAAGTGAAAAAGTGAAGGAAAAAAAAATGTCAACATCTGATCATGTTTGGACAGCCGTGAATTGTCCCGTCAATGTTTACATACAAGACGGTGGAATGTTTCGCTTATCCCCTTGTCTTAAAAAATCGTGGAGGTTACTTGATCCACCCAACTCATCCCTCTCTCTTCTCGGGTTTGACCTGCACGGTCTAGTAGGCACGAATTCACCGAACAAGTCCTTTACACCCCAAGACCGTTTTGCTTCCCCCCAAGCTGTCCTTTCTCCTTTGTAACAAATACCATCATTGTTGAAAAGCAAAAAATATTTTAAATTATTAGACGTGTCAACTTCACACAAATCAAGTTTTCCATCGTCTCGGGGCGGAAACACTTCACATTCTCTGTGAACTGTGACATGTTCAAAAATAACTGAGTTAAACTCAGGAGCAGTCAAAAAATGCGATCTCCCCTCCTCCTCAAAACATAACACACATGAGCTTGACTCACGAGTATCTGTGAACTCTGTCGAAGGTTCACCCTGACAAAATCTAGTGGACGCTACCCTGGTCAAGGTTACGTCCTCTACTTCATGGTTACCCCAGCTTGTCCCCCATATGATCATGACCCCTTGCTTGCGTGGAAGCGGAAGGTGATTCATGCCTTCAACACCCGTGGGTGTGTTATCAAAAGCCATGAGTGTGCCATCAAAAGCCTCTGGCACCCTACAAACCTCAGTCGCTCTCTCAACATCAATAAGTAAAGTATCCGTAACACTATGCTCATAAACAATATTCGTATCAGAAATAACGTCTCTGGGTTCATAATCAATATCACAATCAAACAAACTACAAACCTCAGTCACTCTATCAACATCAATATGTGGAACATCACCAATACTAGGCTCACAATCAACAATTTCATTAAAATCGTCTACTTTGGGTTCATAAGCCATATCACAATCAAAACCATCACTAGAAGAATCAAAAACACTATGTTCATAATCTATATTATTATCAAAATTTCCATCTGAACAATCTACACTGGGTTCATAATTAATATCCCAATCAAAGCAATCATCCAAAGCATGAACAACACTGTGCTCATAATCAATATTATTATCAAAGTCCCCAAATGCAACATCAATACCACTAGGTTCACTACTGGTGCAAGGGCGATAGCCATCCTGCACATCATCACACCCGTCCTCTTTATCCACATTATCCAGCTTATTTTCTCTTGTTTCGGTGTCTTCAAAATATTCGTCAACTAGACCAAATTGAAAAAATTCTGATTCATCATTTTTCCTAGCATTGATAATGCCCCTTTCTACAGTTGGATTTTTAGTTTCTGACAGACTTACCCAAGACTTGTTCTCTCGACACCATCTAAGCTCATTCCCACTAACTTCTACCTTAGTATATTTCCTCTGCCTATATTTCCCATAACTATTTTTAAAGGCCCCCTCCCGCTTGATTTCTTTAAAAGCTTTCTCATCAACTTTACTTTGAGTAATGCTTGGATCCTCGTCCAAACAATTCGACGTTATGTCTAGATCTTTAGTCATGTGACTATGTTCTTCATTAGTAATTTTATATTCCTTAAAGGTGTTTAGGTCAAATGGTTTCTTAGACTTTAATTGCTCATAAATTTTTCTCACCACAGATTCTGGTGGCTTATAAGCATAGATCCATCTGATACATTCTTCTCTAAATTCCCCCATAGATTTTTCTTCCTGGCGTAGGTCTACTCCCCCCACGAAACTGTTCTGTCCCTGTTGATCCTCAATAGGTTTTACACCAAAGGCCATGTCTCCCAGTATATTGCCCTCATTTTCCGCATCACTCAGAGAAAATTGTCCCCTTTCAGTACCAGTTAGTGTACTAGCACTATACCCAGACATTTTTCTCTCATGTTCTTTGATTCTTTCTTTTTCTTCTCGCTCATATGCGCGAATTTCTTCTTCTTCTGCGCGAATTTCTTCTTCTGCACGAATTTCTTCTTCTTCTGCGCGAATTTCTTCTTTTTCTTCGCGAACCTCTTTTTCCCTATTAGCAACCCATTCTTTCGCTTCCTCCCCTTCTAATCCCAAATCTATTGCCATTTGTTTAATTTCGGCAATAGTAGGTAACGACATTTTTATCTCTAAGTCTTATGTCAATATATATGTTTACAAAAAATTTACAAATAGAAAATGGATCAAATGAAATGAGTAATAAAACAATAGAAATTGCAAATCTAATAGCTAAATAATGTACTTAAATAATTACTTGTGATGATTCTCTTGATGGGTGGCACTGGGATTTCGGATATATTGAGCAGTATAATCCATGTGTTCTTTTGTATTCTTGTAGAAAGATACGGTTGGAATGTCTGTTGTCTCCAATAATCCAATGTGACTAAAATTTAGGGTTAGTATAACTGTCTGGCTGGTTTGCATGGCTTTCCTCTGGACTGGTATGGCCGTGATGATTGTTTTGACGAGCTGGTGTGGCTAGTTGGTCAGGCCACCTCTGTGATGAATGGTAGGCTGGTAGGGTTCTTTGGACGATATGATGTTGCTTTAACGGCCTCTACTGTGGTGGATGGTCTGCTATGGTTTGTTTGTTGAACCACATATCAAATGATGAGCTGGCGTGGTTGGATCGTGCTCCCACGGTGGCTAATTGCAAGCTTAGATGGCTGCTCCACTGTCGTGGATGGTTAGGGCTGATATGGCTGCATCGAACGGCCTCCCCTGTGGCTGATTGTAGACTTGGATGGTTTCCTTGATGTGCCGCAACGACGGCGAATGGTAGGTTTAGATGGTTACTCCATTGTGATGGATGACTATGGTTGAAATGGCTGCTTCGACAGCCTTCCCTGTGGCTGGTGGTGGGCTGGGATTGTTGCTTTGATGAGCCTCAACGATGGCGAATGGTAGATGTGTATGGTTAATCCACTGTGGATGGTTGGTAGACTTGGATGGTTGCTCCACTGTGGTGGATGGTAGACTTGGATTGTTGCTTTGATGTGCCGCAACGATGGCGAATGGTGGATTTGTATGGTTAATCCACTGTGGATGGTTGGTAGACTTGGATGGTTGCTCCACTGTGGTGGATGGTAGACTTGGATTATTGCTTTGATGTGCCACGACGATGGCGAATGGTAGATTTGTATGGTTAATCCACTGTGGATGGTTATGGTTGATATGGCTGCTTCGACGAGCCCCCACTGTGACGTGACGTACGTTGTCTAGGGGTCGGTCCCCTGAGTACTAGCCACAGAACAATTTTCAAGGGTCTAGAACCCCTGTTGTCTAGCCCCTACAGAGCTGATGTGCTGAATAGTCCAAGTATTTATTAAAACAAACGATGCAAAGCTTCAGGGTTCATATGATTTATTGCCTCCATCTTCCTGACAGTGGAAAAATGCATAGTAAACATCCGCTGGTTTTTCAGAATACAAAATTTGTGTCCAGAAAAATGCTGCACATAATATAAAAAATATATTTACAGAAGTCCTCTGCCATCCATAGAAAAATCTCCCTTAACAAACTAACGTCCTCACATCCAATCCACCGCGTTCGCCACTGTCACGCTCTCTGAAACTCATCATCCTTTTTTACACACTCCTCTCCTCACGTGGTTCCTCCAGACACAGCACACCGGTCATGCCTGACCGAGAAAAATAAAACTCGTGGGGCACACGGGAAAAAGAAACTCACCCACAATTGGTCAAATTAACATCCTAAAAGCACACACAGAAAAACTCACGCGATCTGACCGTGACAATGACTCCCTGTCTTGTATGCTCCACGCTATTAGTTTTTGCTTTATCCCAATACTTATTTAATTTCTGGTCTTTTATTTGTTCCTCTTTCATGTTCATATTTTCTGGGAACCCAGGTACTGGTCCTTCTCCGATGATACTTTCTGTTGTCCTTTCCTTCTCCATTTCTCTTGTACTCTGTGCTCTCGTCACTACATTTCCATATTGATATAATGCTATCTGTGTTTCTTCTCCTACATTCCCTACAATTAGATCGGCAACTGGGTTCTCGAACAAGGCAGCCAAAAATGTGCCCTTCAAATACTTAGTTTCTATGTCCACATATGCAGATTGTAACTCTTTATTGTCCCGTCTATAAGTCTCAAATCATAATTTACATTCGTAAACTGCTGCCTAGGAACTAACCCTTTTCTGCACCCAACTATTGTGCATCCTGTATCCCAGAGTATGGAAACCTTGTTCCCAAATAATTTCCCTTTTTCTAAAATTAATCTCCCTGTTGAAGTCCCTTGCGTGTCTTCTGCCATGTCAACTGAATGCATTTGCCCTAACAACGGTTTAGGTGTATTTCTATCCCCGTTATACCGTTGTTTTCTTCGTGACAAAACCCTTTTAACTGTTTCCCCATTCATGTTAACCAATAATTTATTACGACACAATAGATCCTTTAGCCCTTCAAAAGTTTTTTCAGTTTTCGAGCTATCCACCCAATTATCTAAGCTCCTTACTAAGTTTGAATGAAACTCCCTGAAGTTATCATTCAGAGGTGTCAGCTCGTTCCATTTCCCCCTGTACTTTTCCTCATTGTATCCTTTATGTTTCAGAAGTAACAGTTTTACTGTCTCATCGTCCAATTTTTTTCCTTATGTCCTCAGTCATTAGAAATGACTGTAGATCCCCCGTCAACCTCACCTGTAATTCTGTGATCCATTCCTGTTTTGGTACCCTGTTTTGTCTGGCAATGTGTTCGAAGTTTACAATGTAGTCGTCCAGTTCCTTGTCGCTGTCATATTTAGGGAGGCATTTGAGTAAGTGGTAATTTTTGTTGAGAATTTTTTTTCACTATTACATTGTGTAAGTCCATTTTTCATTTTGGCTAATTCAATTTCTTTATCTGCTTCTATTTTTAATTTCTTAAGTTCCTTTTCCCTATCTTCTACTCTTCTCTTTTCTTCTCGCTCCTCTTCTTCCCTTCTTCTCTTTTCTTGTCACTCCTCTTCTTGCATTCTTCCCCATTGTTCCCTTACATATGTATCTAACTCCTGTCCCGCAAATCTGGGGTCATTTTCTCCCACCTCCCGAATTTCGGCTATTATTTCGGATATGGTTCCCTTAGCTTTGCTTCTTGTTTCCATTTATAATGATTTACCCCTTCAAAATATTACAAATTATAAATTCTAAAAATGCACAGCGTTTAACTATATATTAGATAATTAATATATTAATACCTTATAACAATAATAACAATTGAGTATCTAAATATTTTACCTAACTTTACTTGACTTGGCCTGTACTTTACCACGCCACACAAAATATAACAATGTCACAGTTTTAAGTAATAGTGTCCAATTTGAGCCTACGTTGTTGACCCGGTAGCAGGCACTGTGTTGATCTGGTTGTAGATGCAGAGGCGCTCCGGCTGTAGGTGCGGCTATGGTCTGGTAGTGGCACAGTTACGATCTTGTCGGTGGTGCGATGATGATCTGGATGTGGCACAGTGACGATCTGGTCGTAGGTGGTTTGCTTCGTGCCAAGGACAGGGGGGACACAGCAAACAGCGGTGTACAGCAACAAGCGGAATAGAGTAATCAGCAGGACACAGCGGCAGGATACATCAGCAGCGGTGTACTGCAACTGCGTTGAATAGCCACCCAGGTGTATAGCAATAGTGGTGTAAAGCTCAGTGGAACACACTAATCAGTGGGTCACAGCATTGGACGGTTGCGTCAGCTGGGACAGGCGACACACAGCCTCCGACGAGCACCTCAGACGACTTGGGACAAGCGACACACAGCCTCAGACACGAACTTTTTCTCTCTCTGATAATTTAACGGTAAAATCCACTTTCAAGGTAAGTGTAAAAGCGCATAAATAATATACTTTTGTTAAAAACCCAAATAGCCGACCGTTTTAAAAAAAAAAATCTTGCAATTAAAAATCAGTCAAAACTCAAATTTTCAAGTCAGTAAAGCAATAGTAAGACTTAAACCCCCCGATTTAAATCGCAGTCAAGCACTGTAGCAAACTAAGATTAGTCGGTAATCTGTAATATCCTAACCTAATCCTAACCTAATCAAAGAGATAAAAGTAGTAGATAAGCATTAAAAATGGCCACCACTACAATCAATCTTAAAGTTAACCCCCTCTCCTATACCAAACCAGACACCATAGTCATTATACTATCGGGCCCCATGGCGTACCAGGTCAACACTGACCTGATAATGAAAGAGCTGAACGCCAAGTGCAAGCTGAAATGGGAGCACGTGGAGGCCCTCTATAACCTGGAGGTACCAACCAGATGGTACCTCAATCTTAAAAGAGAGGCCAAAGCGGAGTACCATACCCGCCTGCACAATGCCCTCATCGGGGGCATAGAAAGCCATGGTTTTCTAGGAGCTCTTGTCCATGAGGACAAGCTCAACATGAAGGTGTACCTCTCGTGGGTCCCTACCATGTTGGGGGAAGAAGGGGTGAGAGAAATCGCCGAACATTTGGCGGCTCCAAACACCCCTTTTAAGGTGACTCGTCACCCCCAGAACGCCTCCAAGTGGGCGTTACATCTTACACCGGGGAAAGAAATTCCCCACTACATCCTGGTGAACGCAGGGGTGTTCCAAAAACATAAAATATGGGTGCAGGTGCCGGGGAGAAGGGTGCAGTGCTTCCACTGGGAGAGAATTCCATTGTTTGGGGCACAGAAAGAGAAGGATCGTTCACCGTATGTTTTAGTGCGTGTCATGAGAACAGAAAGATTACGCAATCTGCGGAGGAACAAAGCTGTCAAAGGGGTGAATGGACAGAAAGAAGTTTAGCCTATGTACAAAAGGCCAAGTGGACGAACTAGATGTGGTGCCATATTTTTCTTTTTCTTTCCATTTTACTTTACCTGGGCATAATTTTGTTTCTTTGTGGCCGGAGGAGTATATTCCTCAACACCACTATCTTCAAATAGCAATCTTTCATCCAAATCCTCTTCATTACTTTCATTTGAGTCTAATGAATTGTTAAAATAAATTAATTGATTTGCTGCTTCGACACTCATGCATTGAAATCTTGAACGCAAGACCTAATAGAAATATCATTACAATTTTTTGAAGTTATTACAATCAGCTGATGTTGTTTACAGTATATAAAACGTGATAACTAGCGGAAAATACACTAAATGTGGTAAAAAATCTGTAAGAAATTTCACACGATGAGAGTTGAAACTCTTCTGAGTAAAGGTTTAAAAAGCTACAAATAAAATAATTGAAAGTAAAAGTTTAAACATTAAGGGCATTAAACAAATCAGTGATCGTACTGGTATTAGCCAAACATACTTTTTTCCACATCTAGAGACATCTTGCTTCAGTGTAGATCATTGTATCTGGAGAGGTCACTCGAAGTATTATAGAGCATCGTTTGTCTGTCACTTTCAAATATTAGTTTCAGTTTGATTGTTTGTGATGTCCTCCAACGAAATGTTTAAATATATCACTATAAAATTTTTAATATGCTCAACATTAATGATTATGTTCTGAGAGACGAATCTCTTATAGTTGAATCAATACAGAAAATTTGAATCTCATGAATAGTTAAAGAGTCCATCTGGTGTTCCCAAAGGATTTACTGAAAATCTATTAATAGCAGTATTAGAAACTTGATGTCAACATTAACGACTATCCGCCATCTTGGATTCGAATAATCAGCTGATTGCTCCAGAAGGAAAACAATTGTAGCTTTCAATAGATTTTGTCAATTTCATTTGACAACTTTCTTAGATGTTTGAATCATTTAATCTGCTGCCACCATTCAATCGATAGTCTGTGTCACGACACAATTTCGTTATAAATCATATCAGAGGCAAAGTGGCTCAAATAGTGACTATTTTATTTTCCACATTCAGTGACATTCACAATAAGAAATACATCTCACAAAAGTAAATTCGAAAACACTTGGAAATCATAGGAATTTCAATGCCTAACTTCTGGGTAATCTTCTTTACTTAATAATGTGTCAACACACTATAAATCTTCATTTAAAACATTAACGATCTCTGTTCAATCTTCTCATACAAATTTCTTTATTCAACAACCATTTTATTCAATTTCCATCTTGTTTCACTCTATGCTGTCATTGGCCAGTTTTTTCTCAAGTCCCAATACTCTGTATTTAATATTATATAAGTAATAACTACGATATTACTTATCTCCCATATATTCATCCATATTCATATCTGTGACAGGTGGATAACTCAAATGTTGCCAAATAGAAACATATCACTGTAATCCTAAAATATACCCTAATACCAAATTTTAAATGGAAATATTTAAAAGTAAACGAGAGAACAAGTATAAATATTATAAACATATTTAATGAATGTCATACAAAATATTAGAAAAAACAAAATAGTTTCATGGTAGATGGAACTTTCTGAAACAGTTGGATTTTTGTGTAAGACACAAATCGACATTACATTTCTCACATTTTATTCTGGCATGGCCTTTACAGCCAAGCATTTTGCAATGACCTTTATCAGGTACAGAGAGAGGAAAGTGGCTGATATTGTCAGTTCGAATAGAGAAAATTGGAACTTCAACTGTGGACCTCTATATTCTTTAATTAATCTGTGGCTCAATTTCTATTGAGGGCCAACCAAGTTTCTTTTGATTTTGAGCTTTGTTTTGATTCATTCTTTTATTTTAAAATCTAAAGAGACAATTTTGTTGTTTCTGGTAGTCCTGCAGCTGAACAACAGCAAGGTGAAATATGTGAAAAGTAATTCTATGGTACCATTTTTTAGATCTGATGGGATTTCTATACATGGCTACTCCACCCATGAAACTATTGTCTACCTTTATTTCCACCTTCTGCTTTTTGTCCCAGCGTTTCTCCTTTTTCACTGGCTCTATGCTTGCAAAGGTGCTTAGCAGAGTAACAGCCTTTTTGTCTACCCATTTATTACTTTAAAATCTACATTGTCAAATGACCCAGTTTTTAGGAGACTGGTACCTCTTGACATTTTTTAAAAAGTTCCTTGTCTGAGGGAAATGAACAGTCTTTCAGTCTGTTGGAACGTATGGTCCCAAGAGATGCTATACCATCCTTCCAAATTGGAGCGTGAGGGGAATTGAGTTAAACCAATTGTCAAAATATACTTGGTGCCAGACACCTTGAGGAAAATCATTTAGGAACCCAAGAACAATGTCTGATGATGCCCTTAAGTCAGGTTGTCCTGGGCATGGGTTTATCTCCCCTGTGTAGAGTTCAAAATCGTGTATAAGACCATTTGGGCCAGAACAAACAAACAACTTGTAGCCCGACATTTTGGGCTTTTTGGTCTACCAGGTCTTTGATGAGTTAGCAAGCCTGTAGAGGCCCCGTGAATAGAGGCAGCTTAATTCAGCAGCACAGTCCTATCTGTTTTACCAAGGCCTTGTTGTTGACTGTAAAATGCGGCAGATAGTGCTGTGCCGACACGCGACTCACCCCAATTCTGCTGGATCAACTGCAGTAGCTTGTCTGGCGTGTTTATTGTTGTGTCTTGCCGAGCCCGTCAAGGGTTCCTAATATCCAGTTGACTGCAGAGGCTGCAGGCTTCGGCTGCAGCTGTAAATTGCCTGCAGCCCATCAACCCATTGACTGCAGCTGTAAGAAGAGTTTTGCTTCCTCAGAAAATTGTTCTGCCCCACTCTCACCAGTAAATCTGGGGAGTTTGGTAAGTCTGCTGGAATCTTTCTGTAAAAAAATCTTCAGTTTTATTGAAGTGTCTTAACCCTTAAATGCATGATTTAAAAAAAAAAAAAACATTGAAAAAAAAACATATGTATGTATTATTATTTGTTTATTCATAAAAAAAAGGTTAAAAAAAAATATTTTTTTAAAGTTGTAATGTTTCATTTTAAAATAAATCTGGGGAGTTTGGTAAATCTGCTGGAATCTTTCTGTAAAAAAATCTTCAGTTTTATTAAAGTTTCTTAACCCTTAAATGAATGATTTAAAAAAAAAAAAAAAACATTGAAAAAAAAACATATGTATGTATTATTATTTGTTTATTCATAAAAAAAAGGTTAAAAAAAAATATTTTTTTAAAGTTGTAATGTTTCATTTTAAAAAAAAAATATGTTGTATATCTGCAACATCATGCATCAAAGGCTAATTTTTATTCAGAAACATGATACTTTTTGAAGAAATTGTTTTTCTTATTGAAGCACAGATTTACACCACATTTCTCACACAGAGTTTCTGCAAACCCTTTACATTTAAGGCATTTACATCTGGCACATACATCAGTCCATTTTAGCCAATGTCCTAATAGTCGAATGTCCTTTAGGATGGGCCACTTTCTTTTTTTAGCGGCCATCATTTCTTCCACTGTGCTGTTGCTAGGGCGGCCTCTTTTTATTGCATTTCTTTGTCCAATTTTCATTAGACAGAAAGCCACTTCCTTCCGGAACTCAAAAAATGTCATTTTGTCTTGACCATTTTCTTTGCATTTTGAAATTCTCTTGAATAGGATCCATGAGTTTGCCAGTGCCATGTCAATGAAATGGTAAAAAAAGGCGCATATACCACTTCTTGCTTTTTAAAAAAATTTTGTGTCTAGCCATTATAGCATCTAGCAAGTCAACACCGCCCACGTGGCGATTGTACACTTTGACGACAAAGGGACAGCTAATGTTTATCGTTGTATTTGCTGTTTTGTCAAAACGTTTTATGGTAGTCACTGGTGGCTTGCCTGCAAATGTGAACAGCACAGTGACTGCTTTGTTATCCTTCCAGACCAAGGAGGTTACTTCTATTCCATCTACTTCTCTAACAAACTCGTATGATGTCCCTCCAGCATCCTTTTTCATATCCTTTTCTGTGGGAAGTTTGCAATTGGGTTTTCTTTTAGGGCGAACAGTGCCCAAGCTAAATATACCTTTTTTAACCAGATATGCCAACAGAGCAGGGGAGGTGTAGTAGTTATCAAAATACAGCCTGTAATTTTGGTTTGCTGGGATAATTGTGGATAGTCTTATCACAACTTTGGCAGAAGCTCCAAGATTGGGTTGATCTGATTCTTTTCTTTTGTTCTCTTGACCAGAATACACTTCAAATTTATAAGCAAAGCCGCTCACTCCACAAGCACAAATAATTTAAAACCCCATTTGAAGGGTTTCATTGGAAGATACTGCTTAAAAAAATGATGAACTTTTGTAGATCATAGCTGTTCATCTGACAATTGTGCTTCTAGAGGAACCATAGCATTTTTTACATTGAGATGATCAATAAGTGGCCTTATTTTGTGAAGTCTACCATGAAAAGGGTTATCTTGAGGTAAATGTTTGGTGTTATCATTGAGGTGCAACGTAGGCAATACACAGAGAAAATACCACACAGAACAGCAGTTATGGGTGATGTTTGAACAGTCATCAGATATCAGAGGAATATCTTCATCCTCTGATGAAATCAATACAGATGACAACATTGATTACAACGAATCAAACTTTTATTAGAAAAGGACACTTCCTCTAAATACTTTTTTGACCATAGCAGACACTGGTTAGTTGGAGCCATCGATTCTGCAATATTTGGCACCCCAGTCAAAGTTGTCCAGTACATTCGTATTTAGGGACACATCAGGCAAGACATCACCATAAAAAAAACATTTTTATTTCTTGGGCTGTAATGGAATCAGTATGCAGATTGGTGAAAAATCTGTCTGTGTAGAATTGTTCATTAAAATATTGATGGAAATAATCAAAAGGTTCAACCCTACATGATTTATGACTGAGTTTTCAGATCGTTTGTTGTTTTTTTACGTATGGAACAAAATAATTTGGATGCTGATGTCCAGTGGACTGCACATCAAATAAATCAAATATCAAATTGAACATTTTTTGTTTGAATGTTTTTTTTTACCATCCCTAATAGCACAATAAAATAGTTATCAAGTTGATTTCACTCTGACTTGTCTCTCGGGACTCAGGAGGATATATCATAGTTCACATTCTTTCTACTTAAAGTATATATAACTGGTTTCCACAGGGTCACTGACAAAACATTAAATGTCTTTAAACTGAAAATAAATGAGACTGTTACGAACCCGGTTCTACACAAAAATTCGATGGCTTCGTTGTCTAGGGGTTTTAATAATTATACAAACCATATATTCTTATAATTACATATCTTTATTACCAAATCAAAACTTCAATTATAAAATGTCATATCCCCTTTCGCACAATATGTCACAAAATATCAAACATTTAATAACAACATCTACCCAAATACTCTCCAAACAACACGCAATCACAATATATATTCAAGTCCTTAACAGTATTAACAGAGACTTTATGACTAAGTGTAAGGGAAGGTGGCAACAGCGGGTTGTCTGCAGGTTTTGCCACATATCCGAAGAATACATCTAAGAAGACCCTAAGGCTCTTTTTCTTTCTCCTTATGCTGCAGCTGCTGGTTCTTTTGGAGCTGGCCCAGTCATGCATGTTACACAAAACTTGTTTGAGCATTCTGAAAATTTTACATCTGCTGCGGTTTTAGACTCCTTTTTGCCTGATGCCTTTAAAGTAAAGCAATTCTTTTTGAGCTATAACTTCAAGTTGAGCTCGGAATCGGTGACCTTTAAATCGGGCCTCTGCATGGACATCTTGGGATCTCCTTTTCTTGACGCCTGTGTCTGTCCTTTACTCCTGTCCAGCTGAGTTCTCTCCAGTTCCGTCTAGCATCCCCTTTTATAAGTCCCGCGTCCCTAGAGATTCCTTCCCAGGGTTTTAATCGTATTCCTTCATCTCTGGTACTTAAAATATTCCTACTACCCCCTTAAGTTTAAATGGACATTAACTAGCCACAGCTAGTCACCCAGGGCTTTAATCTATTCCTACATCTAAGGTACTAAAATTGTCCCTCAGTCTAAATGGTCATAAACTAGCACTGTAATGGTGCGTATGGGTGCAATCTGATCAGATACCATAGATCTGTTGGTCTCTGATCAGATATCATAGATCTGTTGGTTAGTTACTGTGCTGTGGAATCTCCACAATATTCCTTATCTCCCATTAGTATTTATATTCATATCTGTGAAACCACTCTTTCACATTTACGCCTTGACTACTTTAATAAATCCACTAACTATCATCAGGGATTCTCACCTCGTCAATTCACTTAACTGAAATCAGATTCAGTCTTTTCTCTTATAAAGATTATAAATGTGATGCATGATTAGTGAGTATTTCTTAAAAGTCAAATAACTGTAGGTAAAGATAAACTCGCCCATGCTTTCCAGCTGCAAGGTTTTTTGTGACTTTAATGGTGAGCTCTTCCTTGATCAAAGTAATCATGGGATGAATAGACCACCATTTTTGTTACTTAATTCCAATTAATCAGAGTTTTGAAAGCATTATAATTTTATTTGGTGCGGTTTCTCAATGTGATAAGAGACATCTTGCTGCATTTTTCTGCACTAAGAAATGTCAAACAAATCATTGTTTTATTATAGAAAATTTTCTCTCAAGTTTATCAAAAAATATATAATCTTCATTTATTTAGCATTATTAAAATTGACTTATTAAAAGATCTGATGTATTGACTTTTTAAAAAAAATCTTAATATCATGGGGTTGACTTACCTGTCCATAGCTAACCTCTAGAGAGGAAGCAAAACTAACTCCACTAACAGAGCTTAAAGATTCTAGACCTGATTCAAGTATATTCCAATCCATCCCTGTGGCGCTATAGTCCATGTAGGGCTTTGGCCTGCCTCACCACTTCCTTCCACTCAGACCTAACTAATGCCTTTCTTTTCCATGCTTGGACTTTCAACTGCTGTAGATCATTTTCCACATCATCTATAATTCAAAAATATTGTCCATATCCATGCATAGGTCGATTTCCATTGGTATCAGTCCGGGTTTTATTCTGTTGATTGGCTTTCGTAACGTTGTTTTTTTTTTACATGGCCGGGTTGTTAACCCTGCACACAACCGTCTGGGGGTTTGCCCCTTACAGCTCTCTGGATAGCTGCCTTAGTTTTTGGGTAAGGTTCCCTAGCCTTTGTGGATCCCTCCACTTCCTACAAGGCAGTAGGTTCTGATTTTGGTCCGCCCCAGGTATTTTATTTCCCTGGTACCCTCCATATCTGGTGGGCTTTCTCCTATCCGCCATATGGGGAGGCGCTCGATGGAAGATCAGTATCTCCACGCGAAGATTTAAGTATATTGCTCGTAAGAAAGGCCGCATACAGTTTCTGCACTTTTTAACATTGTCAGGTTGTTGCCATCTGACCTCTCTTTTAGACTGTTGGATTTCCTCCAGTTGCATCTCCAAGGATAGGGAAATCTTGATATAGTCCATATTAACTGCTTCTCTTCTCTCTACTCAAACCATATTGCATATTGACTGCTTCACTTCTCTCTAGTCTATTCTGAAGTGATAATTTTTCATTCTCAAGTTCAAGACAATACTTTTGTATATCCAATTATCCCCATGTAGAATTTCTTGAATTTCTATTGTTATGCTTTTGACATAATCCCACCTTCTTCCTCCACAAACCTAGGTACTTTTGTCAACACAATCCCACCTTCTTCATACACTGACAGCCGATGTCCACAAATTTTATCTTTTTTTTTGAGATTACCTCAGCTCCTCATTATTATACAAAAATTTGTTTGTTTTCTTCATCTTGAGTACATTTAACTATAGGTAAAGATAAACTCACTCATGCTTTCCAGCTGCAAGGTTCTTGGTGACTTAAATGATGAGTTTCTTCCTGGATCAAAGTAGTCATTGGGATGAATAGGCTGCTATTTGTGTTACTTTATAAATTCCACTTAATCAGAGTTTTGAAAGCATTATAATTTCATTTTGTACAGTTTCTAAATTTGATCAGAAACATCATTCTGCATATTTCTAAGAAAATATCCAGCATAATGATGATGTGGCAAAAGTCTGTCCAGGAGTCTGCACAGAAACTAATTGCATAAGTAATTCAATAGCCCCTAGACTAAACGAAGCTATTGAACTACTTATGCAATAATTAGCAGTTTGTAACAATACTGTATTGAACCATTTTAAATATAATACAAGTTCTCAATAACGTTGTTTAATATTTCTTTTGGTATGAACTTTATTGACAGCAATTTCTCGGTGGACAGTTTCTTTTGCACAATTAGCTGCCTCTTCTGTTTCCACTGCTATCTCCACTGCTTTGTAAAATGTTAAGTCTGTGTCCTTCATTTTGAATAATATTTTAATATTGCTTCGTTCTTCATAGAACACATAAATTTTTCCTTAGAGCTTCATCCAGTGGGTTTTTTTTAATAGCACCAAATTCACTTGTTCTGCCTCTTGTCTTATTCGTGCGGCCAACTCCTTAACTGTCTCTCCTGGCTTTCTACTGGAATGCGACCAAATCTTAAATCTTTCTCTGAGAACAAATTTTGTTGGATCAAACTATTCCATCATTAACAAATAAACTTCTCCATTGTTAATTGATTGAAGTCTTGTGGTGTGTCTCTTAGTTTTACCAGTGTTGATACCATTTTGTGGATTTCCGGTGTTTGGTTAGTCAGGAAAATTTGTGCTTGTTTTTCTTTTGGTATATTGTTTGCAAACACAAAAGTTATATACCTAGCATAATAGTCAGTGAAGGCTTCTTCATTACTATTGAAACTTGCAAATTTCGTCTGAATAGATGTATTCCCTGTTTCTAACTTCAACAGTACTTCATTTTGCTGTATCAGCTTTTGGATTATTTCCACCTGGGTCAGAGTTGACTCCGCCCTATTTGTATATATTATCTTCAGTTACGTGAAGTCTGTGTGCCAGCATAATACTAGTCGATTGATTTCTTCAAAAAGTACTTACTGCATACTATACTGGATTGTACTGAATTGTACTGACCAACATTTGTTATGTTTTTAAATGTTTTAACATCAGGCAGCAGAACAATTTTCTACATCCCAAGGACATGATTTTCCTGTTGGAACTTGTGACAAATGTGGAGGAAAATGACATAAGGGAAATGTCTGCAGATATAGAGACATGATATGCCGCTGTTGACACAAGAAAATGTAAATGAAAGAACTGCTTTCAAGCTTAGTAAATGAATGAAATAGCAAAACGAGGTATGTGGAAGCTTGAATAAGATAACAGGACAAAAAACAAGGACGTTTCGGCATAAAGCCTTCCTCAGCCAACAGTAGAAATGAAAATATAACAAAAAACAGAGCACAGTAGACAACTCAAGAAGTATCCATTGGTGACGCCGGAAGTGGGAACACAGGAAGCGAGAGAATATAAATATTTACACTGTGAAAAATGAAGTCCACAATAATAATGGACTAGAATATCCAGGGATACATCAACAAACAAGAAAGTACATCTGGAAAGAGTATGTCTAAGTTCTCTAAGTAAGAAAGAACATACACCAAGACAGAAACCAAGTTACCTTAAAAGAATTTTTTTAAATTTATGTCAGAGTCTGTATGGCGATATCAGCTTCAGGTGACCAACTTAATGTGTAAAAATAAATACTGATATAAAGGATTCATTTTCAAACCTGTCATTCGTGGTAGCGAAAGATCACAAATTAAATTTGTTGGGCAGAATAGTCATAAGAAACCACAATATTTCAATAGACAGCCTTTTTCAACCACAAGTGAATCATATCAGCAATCAAAACTCATTGAATAAATCTGCAATGAATTCCCTCAACTTTTTGCACCAGGTCTTGGATTATTGAAAGACTTTGAGCTAGAGATTAAGTTCAAGCCAAATGCAAAGCCAATCTATATGAAACCGAGAAATGTTCCTTGTACTATAAAGGCAGATATTGCAGAAGCTTATGAAGCTGGAATATGCTCTGGCGTCTGGAAACCAGTGTAGTTCAATCAATGGGGCATTCCCGTAGTTCCAGTAAGAAAGAAGTCTATCTCAGAAAAAAATTCACAAATATAGGGTCTGTGGGCCAATCTAATATTTCATTTATCCTCCAAAAGCTCATAGTTTCGGGCTAACCTTTCAAAACGGTGTAAGTAAACGTGAGTTGTCTCTACCTTTTCATCAAACGAGTCCAGTGGGAATAATAATGATGGGTGAATGATTCCTGCCTTGGCGCCGTACATGACTGTGGTTAGCATGGTATTGGAACCTGAAGTGGTCGCTTCATTTAGTCGCTCACGGATTATCTTTTCCCTCTCCACTTCCATCTCCTTCATTTTCAATTGAGTATCAATATCCTTGAGCTTCAACTCATGCTCTCTTACTGCTCGCTCCTTCTCTGCCTCTCTTTCGGCCTGGGGATGCTGACAATGACAAAGACTTTTAAATCTATCCCCACATTGGATGTATATGTACATGCTATGTCACCTTCAATACCTCGATCTGAATTCATTGCTGTTGGAATGGGACATGTCAGCTTATGACTATACTATTAGCCTAGATAATTCATATCTATTTTGTATCATTTCACATTTAGCCTGATTGTATTGTTAGTGAAATGACGCACCTTGAAGCTGGAACTAGGGGATCTTTTTTCACGTATTATATACTTCTCAATATGTTTTGACTTAAAAAACTAGCTCTTGAATGAGATATCCTCTTGGCACTCTGTCTGAGGGATTAATTAATTTAAGCCAAATTACCATTCAAACATAAAAACCCATCTATATACATAGAGAATGAAACAAAGTCTTTGTCAAAGGGGCAAATAACTGCAAGGATTTATTCATGATCAGTATTACATTAACTTTGAAGTTCACTCCTTTGTTAGAGAATATATATACAAAATGGAATTCAGCAAAATTTTGAAGGTATGTTATTTGAATAAGTGTCCCTAAAATACTGATAGTATCATCATTATAAAAGCTATTTTTGCTCAAGGTCATAAGTTCAATCAGTGTGGACTTAGCCTGATATAATTTCACAATTGATCTCGGCAGAGCAATAAGTGTTTGAGTTTCTTCCGTTCCAGAAGGGTGTCCTCCATTCCTGTCTACGTAGCTTTTCAATGCGAAGCGGAGTAGGCGTTCCCAGTCGTAGAAGGCATCAACTTCTTGTTCCAAGAGTTTCTTTGTGATCTCTGCGGAAGTAGAATCTCCAGCGATAAATCGTGGGTGTTAAAGAGTCTCTGAATCTCGAGGTCCTTATCGTAGCCGTACGTAGTTTGGTGTAAGACGTGAAAAACTATCTCCAAGTTCCAGCTTTAAGGTGTGTCGGTCCAGTAAGAATAAACCAGGTGGTATTCTAGGTTGCAGCTAATGATTAAGGATCAGGCTAATGAAGTCCTAAGTCTAATAGGCTGCAGTGTTCACAATCAAGTGATATAATTATGTAGCCAAGTGGTGCGTAGCTTACAGTTTAAATAAAATCACAATAAAACAATCAGGTCTGAGAACTATAGCTTTTTAATTAATGTAAGGTACAATCCGTTGACAAAGCCGACAGGAAAATCTCATACCTGCCGTCGACCCGACGCATCCGTTCCACACCACAATCTAACAAATGTACACACCTCAAGTCCCAGTTCGCCACCCCCCTCGCCACACACACACAGTCACAGGGAACCCGCGTCTCGAGCTGACCATGGGTCAACTCCGGAGCAGGGATGGTTATTCCCGCGTGTAAATAACCTACATAAAATTTAAGGCCAGTACATGGCTGAGTGTTACTTTAAATGACCATGGATGTGTACGTGCTTGGGGTTACCCCTAGCAGTCACACTATGACTATGAGAGTGGATTCTCTTATTCCTATCTGTTCCATACTGCCGCATATAAAATGTTACCTTAAAGCATTTGCAAATAGTGGCACATTGCCACAATTATAAAAGGACATATTCTAATCTGCTTCTGCTATTTATTCAAGTTGGGGAACGATTTTAATTGGTTGGGTTAAAAGTTGTTTATTTTCCCATCCAATGACATCAGTCTAATATTACGGATTCAACCTTCCACCCAGAAAAATTATAGGGGAGAGGTGTTAGGGTTGGTTCACACTACAAAATTCTCCTTCAAACATTTGATGCAATCTGTGTATGAAGCCTTGTCACAACTTTCAAATCATTATTTGATCAAATTTCGATGGCATGCAATTTATTTTAGTTTTAGTATTATTGGGCAACCTCCATATCACGTGAACAAACACTAAAAAGAAGTTCGTCAATCTAGGTCCTGTTTACATGGACTACGCTAAGTTATGAAACAATAACAGCCTCCAAATAAGAATTACTGACTTAACTTAGAAAAAAATATAATAGAAAAAACTAGAAAATAATTGGGCATGATATAATTGTAATTTATTTTTTAAATAGGCTTTTTACTTATAAAGCATATTCTCTGCAACTTTGGCACTAAGCATGTCACTAGGACTAGACTAATCATATGACTACTAGACTACTACTACTTGTTTCTTCTGCTACGCTACGGCTAGAATATGCGACTTAATCTTAACTATTTCTATGTCTGCCATTTATAAAAAAAAGCGATTACTGTCTAAACTGAGTGACTCACTCTGGGAATTGTACTCCACACAACTATCTGGAATGCCAACTAGCTTTTTTTAAAAATTTTAGTAATATTAATAAAGTATAAAGTTTAAAAAATAACATTCAAGAATGGTTTAGGAGCATACTTTTTTGATGAACTCCGTTCAGGACAAATTTACATATTTTTTTCAGCTCCAGGTCAGGTCCGACAAAAATAAAAATGAGTTGAAGGGGTGTTGAGCGTTTAAATAAACGTTTATTAGTTTATTATTTACCCATCTAAATGTAACTAACAAGGCATTATGAATGAATTAGTATTTTTATTTTGTATCCATTAACTTTTACTATTGAAACTTGGATTAGTGAGAAATTTGACCAGGTCGATCTACTGGCAAAGAAAATATTGCAAGAACCTTGAATCCCTGATTACAAATAACAATTAGAAATTAAATTCTCCTAAATCAATAACACCACTCCTTTCCAATGATATCATAGCAAATGAATGTCCCCTTACGGAAATAAAAATAAAGAATTCAACTTTATCATTGTTAGATTTACTTATTTACCTTAGGTCAATTATTAAATTGTTTTTCTGTGGCGACCCCTTTTGTCTACTTTTTAATTATTTCCACAGATAAACATACAATTTTAGTAGTATTCTGTTAGAGTAATATTATAGACCTCTATTTTTGTTCTTTTTTAGAATATAGAATCACTTGACTTTAAATATTATACAGATTTAAATAGGCACCCTTCATTTGACATAGAACCACAGTAAATAGCTTACATTTCTGAAGGATACTGTTACATTGTACAATTACATTCAAGTTCTACTCCACATTCATAAATAGATATAAAAGTAAATTTAAAAAAAATCAATATAATTTTTTGACTCATTTAAATGGTAATTTGAAGTACCGTTTGAAAAGTTTTAAGATAGTTAGATAGTAGAATTTGCAATAGTTTTCTTCTCTGTCTGATAACTACCAGTGGAGCATGGGCCATTAACTATTACTTTCCAAGTCTTTTAGTTATAGATATCTTCTCCAGCTCTATCCGATCTTCATAACGGGGTACATTTTTGTCATAGATATCTTCTCCAGCTCTATCCGATCTTCATAACGGGGTACATTTTTGTCAACATTCCTTTAACAAGGGAAATCATTTCTAAATTATGCATTAAAATTTATAGTACACTCATTTTTAGTACTCTGTAAAAGATTTTAAAAATTAAATTAAGTAAAATTATCTATATGTTGATAATTTATATACTGGTACTCTTACTTAAATTCTGCTCTAAACTAAAATGAATAGTATTTTAAGGAGTGGCAATCTCTTTTTAAACATAATTGAAAACATACAAGTCCAATCACTGATTTCACAAAAGCTCAGAAATAAAATTTTAAAAATTTTATAAAAAATAAGCAGTGCCGAATGAACTTATCAAGAAGCACTACCATTAGTAGTTGTCGTTCCATATTTTAAAACAGGAAGGATGTCTCAATCATCTTTGACTATAAAGATTCTGTCATTTTCTTTTCTTTCAAGTAATGGGATTGTGAATGCTTGTCTTTGTTGAGTTTAATAATTTCTGAAACAAGCAAAAAAGGAATATATTTTTTTCATTGCTGATAAAATACAAAAATACATATTATAAAGGTTTGATCAAACAACCACTCATTTTAAAGTGTATGTGTTAATATTTCCCAGTTATCATGCATCACATATACGTTGTTTGATAAATAATGCAGACAATAAAGTAATTGAAATCTGGAATTTTCTAATTTGTTCAAGCTTTTGGTGGAAAGAGTATGACTAATCAAAAGCCTCCCAGATTTGTATCTTAGGTTTTCAATAATAAATTATAATCATTATATTTTTCTATGTTAAATTGATACTGTTGCTACCTTTTTTGAGTGTAAATTGGAATGGGAAAAGTGCCTAATGGATTAGTGTTAATTTAGTTTGACAGGAGGAGGGTGGCAAAATGCCCATTCACACCATTTTAGGGTGATCACACCCGAAGTAGGGAAACCCTTTAACAACTATAATAATAATAAATAAGGCCAAAATTTCATCATTAAAATTTCAATGTTTTTTCTACTTAACATTTTGTATATTTTTTAGCAGAAAAATAGTTATTTTCATTTTAGTTATTTTATGATTATATAAAATGGTAATAAAATTGGTATCTTCTATATTCATATTTCTGATAGTTTCATCTGTAGTATTTTTTTTGTACCACTTTCCATTCGATTTAGGCATACATGATTGTAGTAATGAAATAACTCTCAGGGCAAACGTAATTTAATTATAAATGGTCCCCAACCAATCGTATTTCTCGATTCATTCACTGCTCAATGTAGAAAGGAGCTAAAACTAACAACTGAAAATGTACTTTTTTTTTTTTACTTTCCTTTTTGAAAATTTACCTGAATGTACGATATATTATATTTTAAACCTGGTCTCTTACTTAAATAGTTGTTTTGAAAGGTCTTGGTGTACAATAGTAAAAAACATCTCAACTTCGTACATTATACGCCCAAAGGAGTTAAGGAAATCCAAGGGTTAAAATGACTCATGTCGAGCATCTTCGAGTATTTTCTGGCAACGTTTGTCGATGGTACTCTGCAACAGTGTCTATCAACGAATACCCAGGCACACAGAGTATTGGAACACAAACACTGTATGAATGACTAGAGTTCTTCTTTTTTATGTGGATCTGTTACGCAGATTCACCTGGTTACAGCATCTCCTTATAACCACAATATATCCAAAACACCGTAGCTATCACTCACGAACGTCTGGTGAATATCTCCTGAATCACCTCCCTCTTTCCCACTCTCTCTGTCTAATGCCTTAGATCCACACACTTGTTTATTAGTTTATTCCTGTCATCCAATGATCATTCGGACACAATGATAGGACTCATGACACAACTCATGGGGACTCAAACAGCGTTCTGATCATACTAACAGTGATTCTCATACCCTTGACATAGACTATCCCTCTCTGAAATCACTGTCACAATATCATAACTTTAAACATGTCAATACTTTTAAAAAATCAACTCTTCCCCACAACTTTTTACCGAGTGAAATAAAATTAATGGTTGCTTAGAGGGCACCAAGTGAAATCCCCGACTTGAAAGTGTTTAATGATGTTTTAGCAGATAACTAGCATAATAATAGGGGGAAATGCTTGTGTCTGAGTAAGCAAAAACCTGCCAGCCCTGCAACCAGTGCATACACCGATGCAACCGCTAGGTGCCCTCAATATAACCAATTGTGATATTAAAGCTAGAGAGCAGTCTATTTTCATTTTTCTCTTATTGTCTTTATAATCCTTTGGATTTCTTCGTCCCTCTTTTTTTTCATTCTTCCCATTATTTTATTTCCTCTTCCTTCCTTTTTGCTTACTCTTTTACTGCCTGTAACTTTAGTTTTTCCTGTTTCTTTTTCTCCAGGTCAATTTTTCATATGGGCTTTATTTCATCTTCTTCTTTTCCTGCCCTGTCTTTGTTGATTAAGTGATCTATAAATTCTTTTCCTCTGATCAGTGGTGGGAGCTTTTATGTTTTGCGTCTCAGAGAGTTCCATTATGTAAGAACAGGCAATGAAAGTGGATCCTTTTGAACATAAGGTGGAGGGTTTTTGACAGCTTTGTCTTTGAATGGTACTTAGGAATGTTCCTGTGGTATAATTGCAATAATCTGTACAAAGAGTCATTGCAGTTGTAACTCTCTTCAAGCCTTTTGTAAAATAGTCTTTAAGTTTGATTCTCCAACATGTGCACATATCATAGCAAATTTGTTAAAATTTGAAGCAATATCAATGGAAGCATCTGGACAGGTGCTTGTGCCACTAATAGATGGAGGTTCTGCTTCTGATGTAGGACTAGAAATCACTGGGGCTGTTACTCACTGGTAGATGAGCATCTGACAGAGACTGGTAGATGTGGGGCTGATTTAGTTGTGTTTTTAGAGAGGGCACAACTATGAAGATGGCTGTCAAATGTTTGGTCCCATGGCAAAATATTCGTGTGTTCCTACAAATATTTTGCATTATCTAAGGTTGACGAGGTGTAGAGCTCAGAGTTGTGACGATATCTCTACACTTCTTGTCGGACAACCATAAGGATCTCTTAAGTTTCTCTGACTAGTCCAACTTATACTCTATGTTAGTCCAAGGCACTACACTCTTGAGTCCATTAGATAATACTAATCTATTAGCTTTAGCACATATAGCATGTCATGTAACATCACCTCCAAAATCCGGAGATACACAGCAATAATCACTATTTCACAATAGGTCTGCCACACTCAGCAACACACAATCTCGTCCATGAACATTATACCACTCTCTGAATCCTTTACTCAAACTTGCACTTGGTTAACATTATTTACTGTTATTCCACACAACGCAACAGTGGTTCTCATACCCTTGACCATGGCCTCTGAGGGAGACGGCAAAGCTGGTGTTTTCATGTTCGGTTGCAGGCTGATGTTGGGGTGTCCTGTCAGGCACAATATGTGCCAGGCACAATATGTGCCAGGCACAATATGTGCCAGGCACAATATGTGCCAGTACTGTCTGCCAGTAAATATTGGTTGGGTCTTGTGCATATAACCCACTTATTTTAAACACTTGTTGAGCAAGATTTTTCTGCACCAATTCCTGGTAAGCTACTTTAAAAACACTGGTAAATGTACGTTTAGTAATAATTTCAGCTTCATCTTGCTTTTTGACAACTTTCCGACATTTTTTCTTCATGGTTTGGGAAATACCCACATCTAAGGGCCTCTTAATGTGAGACGAATGGGCTGGCAGGGTATTACAGTATAATGTTGTGGCCTGGATGGACTGGTGACTGATGTGGCCATCAACTAAAAGCAGAATAGGCCTATTAGCAGAGCGGTTCGGGGCAGAAAAAACTGCTCCAGCTAATCAGCAAAAGATGGTCTGATTGGTCCGTCCATTTGTTGATTTTGTGATGTAGAATTCTTCAAATACTTCATTTGGCTTAAAGCCACGGAATGGGTACCAGGGTATATGAGCAATGGCCACACGTAGTCCCCTATAGCATTGGAGCAAACAAGTGCAATGATCATGGGTTTTTGCTCACTCAGAGCTGATAAACAAATTTGGTTCCCATGAAGGATAAAAAAATTTCCCAGTCCCAGGATCAAGACTGAACCCTGATTCATCGCAATTGAAAATCCGATTTGGCTCAATGACTATAGAGGCATCTATTCCTTTGACTGTTGTAGTGAAGTTATCAAACCATTTGAGGATGGATTCATTCGTTACTGCAGCTCGTCTTTTCACAAGTTTTTGTGCAATATGAAATCGTACCTTCTAATCCTCTAACTTGTTGTAGTAATTTAATTCTGGTAAATTCATTGAGCATTTCAGTGAGTGTATGCCCTAAGATGGTAGTCGATAGTTTTCTCGCCATTCTCACTAACTGCCAGTACTCATAAAGATCTTTTCCCTTTTATATCCTCTGTCAAAATTAAATTCTTGTAGAATCAGCGCCCACCTTGTTTTTCTAGAATTTGCTAATATGGCTGTTCTCACATATGGCTCTAACTCAGGGGCGCCCACAGCCTTAAAAAAAATGGACGCACACCTTCCCGTCTCCTATCGTCATTGATCAGCCCTTCTTAATCATATACTGCTAAATAAATGTCACCACATGCCATGACTCATGTGTCTCATATTAGCAAAAGTACTCCAGCAAAACATAAAGCAAAACAGGTATATTTTTTATAATTTTTTCAATTTCACCAATATTTCATACATTTTACGCAAAGAACTGGCTACAAACATAATCTAGCCTAAGTATATTTACCGTCATATACCTTACGTAAACACGTTGCTTGGCAAATCAGTCATCATTGTCAACAAAGGCACACACAATTCTATGATGTCCTGTGGCATCGAAGTCTTTTATGACTTTAGTGACGTCAGGAAATATGTCAGTCTGAAAATGCAGCAGCGCCAGAGCTGATAGTCGTTCTGATCCGATTGTTGAACGCATATAACTCTTGAGACGGCGGAGCGCCGAGAAGCTGCATTCAGCTGTGGCGGATGTAACAGGCATCGTTAAAAGTACATGAAAAACAGTGTGCAAATTTGGGTATAAATCCTTCGTGAGCAAAAAACAGTCTTGCAAAGACACCGCAGTGTTGCTGACTTCTCCTTCAGGCGCAGAAAGTTTGAACTTCCACCTCTCAATCTCTACATCAAGATCATCTGAATTAATGAATGCCGCATAAGCTTCCCGAATTTTATCCATGACATCCTTAGTCAGACTGGATATATGTTGCGCATAAGCATTTCTGCTGTCAAACGTCCTGATGATGCACAAATGCGGTCTTGAAGTTCTGTTATTAGGTGATCCAAAAAGGAATTGTGAACATTTAGTCTGAAGTAATCTTGCACCGAATTTATCGGTCCCTGTGCATTTGATCTGTACTGTTGTCTAGCAGTAACTCTTGGTGCTTTGACCTCAACATTCAATTTCTGTGCTAACTTGGAGGCCTCGTCAAACAATGAATTGCATGAATCGTCATTGCTCATTTTCAATTTCAGAAGGTCGATCAACTCCTTGCACTCACTAGAGGCACGAATTAAATTCTGATCCACAGACTGCAATGAGTAGGAAATCGGTTTCGTGTAGCGCAAGTAGTGATGAACAACGACAAGCGTATATATGTACCGAAAATTCTGGATTGATAATTGGACAGATTTTTGATCATCATGATCACCCATGATCTGTCACCCATTATTAAAAATTGAGGAAATACAAGAATACTGCAACGATTACACAAAAAAAAGTTGCTAAAGTAGACTACTTGAAGAACGGCTTGAATGTAAACAAATATGGCCGCCTGGACATGCACACGTCTTACAATAGAGATGTAAAAGTAATAAATACCCGGTAGTTGCATAGATATTTTTAAAAAGTTTCTAACGGTCAAACATTCTCACAAGTCAGGGGTGAGGGGAACTCTTAAATTTGATATTTTTCATTTTGTTATTTGTTTTTAATATTTAATTTAATAATTGAGCTCCGTGGTGCAGCGGTAAGGCGCTAATTGACTTTTATAAACAAATATTAATTTTGTAAATTTTAGATGTGCGTCCAGTGCGTCACGCTGAGGGCGCCCCTGCTCTAACTTGTATGAAATCATATCCTCCAATTTGTTGTAGTATGAAATCATACCCTCTAATCCTCTAACTTGTTGTAGTATGAAATCATACTCTCCAATCCTCTAACTTATTATGGTATGAAATCATACCCTCTAATCCTCTAAATTGTATGAAATCATACCTTCTAATCCTCTAACTTGTTGTAGTCTGAAATCATATCCTCTAACTTGTTGTAGTATGAAATCATACCCTCCAATCCTCTAATTTGTTGTAGTAGTGTGAAAACATCCGCTGTAATCCTCTAACTTATATGAAATCATATCCTCTTACTTGAACCAGAGGTCTCTTCACCAAGACCATATAACCTGAGGTCCGAAAGTTGATGGCTATGATTTGTTTGCTGAAGATTGCATAGTGTTGAGAATGAAGCACAAAAACTATAGTAAGATGTTAGTTGAATAAACAACTATTCATAATTGTTATACAATTTGTGTGGATTAAAAATGACTCGACTCTTCAGCATCCACTCATGTTAAGAAGCAATACTAACTGCATTATCAAACATGATACTAACTGAGAACACCAGTGGTGTTCAGATCATTTCCCAAGAATATCATAAGGTAACTTTATAACACAGTCAGAGAGTGAAGTCCATGCTTAATAGCTAGGATGAATAAGGAATTTAGAGTTTCTGGTTCCAACAGGGCCATCATAACAACATAGGAGGCCCTGGGCACAGCAATGCACTGGGGCCCCCTAGCAATGTTATCGTTCCTAAGCCAATTGAAAAAAAGGGGGGAGGGGGGTGTGAAACAGTTTCTGCTCCTCACCAAGAGGAATAAAAAAGTCAATAAAGTTAAACTTCGATGAATTCAATTTATTGATACAAAAAAAAATCATTAAATATCAATAATAGCTTTGAAACATCAGAAATAATAATCACAGAGGATGATAAATTATCATTATTGACGGATAGATACAATAAAATTAATATAAATCAACATAATCATTTGTATAATTTTTTTGCAGAGAATTGTTTTATTATTGGTTTAAAGTCAATGGTCTTAAGGATGTCATTTTCCACGCGCATAAGTGAGAGCCAGTTCAAACGTTCTTGTCCTATTAGTACTGCATAACTGATTCTTACCTTATTATTTTTCTATTCATATCTGGGAAAAGTAAAACTTGTTGACGAGAGTTATTCCCGTTTAAAAGTTTTAAATTTGTCTAACTTTGATTCACATTTATAATATTAGTTTTGGAGTGTGCTGATATATATCTAGGGTAAAAATTGTTAATTTCAAATCCAATTAAATTGTCAAAATGTTTCAATATTTATTAAAATTATGTAAAGCATGATGGCTCTATAAGAGTAAGTCTCCTAGAAGCGTGGAGCCCCTTAAAAGTGTTGGTTTTCCTACAAACGTGGAGCCCCTTATAAGCATGGGGTTTCCTACAAGCGTGGGGCCCCCTACAAGCGTGGGGCCCTGGGCCAATGCCTTAAGATGGCACTGGGTTCCATTAGCTGCATCTTTAAATCTTTTGTCTATCTGTCTCCTGCATTGCCATCACTGAACTGATAATCAAACTTTTTTAGCTTTTCTTTCTGTCTTGTGTAGTACAGCGGGCTCTACTAATACACAAAAATCAGACATACTTCTACCATAGGAAGGATACAGTATAAACAAATTAAGAGGATAATTCATATTAGTATCAATTTTAACATAAATCCTAGGTAGGGAGCCCCCCCCCCCCCATTCTTAGACAATATTCATCTTGCACAGAAACGCTCCTTTTAACAAGTATAAAGTTATTAAAACAAATTTTAAAAAAAAATAAACTCTTTAAATATATCTATAATTGTATTTTAGTATCAATTTTAACATAAATCCTAGGGAGGGAGCCCCCCCCCCCCCCATTCTTAGACAATATTCATCTTGCACAGAAACGCTACTTTTAACAAGTATAAAGTTATTAAAACAAATTTTAAAAAAAAATACACTCTTTAAATATATCTATAATTGGATGTTCTGTGCTTGCAAGAAGTACATTATTGAAACATCATTTTATATTTCTATACCAAATTTCAAAGTCTGGAAATAATTTAGTTGTTCACAGTTAGGTCAATAAATTTCATGTTGAGTCCCTGTATGTGTACATTTCTTCAGAACAACGACTAACTCGCCCATAAATAGCGAAATTGAAATTATGTGACAAGATTATTAGCAGTACCAGTAATTAATTTTTCTGTGAAAGAAAGCTTATTGATATTTTTTTAAGAACCTTGATTCTAGGACTGCTCTGGGAAAAATGTGCTGTAACGATTTTTTAATACCAGGTAGTCATTTAAAATTGTTAATGATTTTATTTTTTTAACACTACTTATCATACATCTAAAATAGAAAATAACCCTATTAACAAAAATTGAAAATATAAGAAAAATGAAAGTATCCACACTCATCTGACACAGCAGCTGGTTTCATCTTTTACATCTCCTCTTACATATATATTTAAAGGTTTTAATTATAATTTTAAATAAGTAATAAAACAAAGTGTTTAAAGTAACTAAGGGGATTACTTACTTACTTACTTACACCTTTCTACCCTGTCTGGGGCATAGGCCGTCTACAATAACTTTCCACTCACAATGGTCCTGTGCTTTCCTTTCCAATTGCTTCCAGGTGTATGCCATATTTTGCGTGTCAGCCTCTATCTCACATCTCCATGTATTCTTAGGCCTTCCTCTCTTTCTTTTTCCCTGTGGGTACCATGTTAGGCATTGTCTGATGGTGCTTTCTGGGGGTTTTCGGAGCGCATGCCCTATCCATCTCCACCTTTTCTTTATGATATCTTCATCAATGGGCACCTGGTGTGTCCTTTCTAGTAGATCTTTGTTATTGATAGTATTTGGCCATTTGATTTTCAGGATCTTTCTAAGGGGATTACATTGGTAATATTCCCCTTAACGATGAGAGGTGGTTGAGCCGAGATGTGTGGCTTACACTGGTTTTTCTCTTGACATTTGCAACTAGCTCAACTTAAGCTCATTTATTAGTATGGTTATTGGTATTAACTCGTTTTCTCCTCAGTGACAAACCAAACAATTTCTAACATTTCATCTCATTCGTGATAGTCTCTTTGCTTAGTATAGCACTCTGCTTCATCAGCAAACAGGTTGGATTATTTGTTAATGATTTATATAACTAGCAAAACACAATTGCAACTGCACTAAGCAAAGTTATAAATTACAACAAATTAGTCACCATAAATATATAAGGGTCTGTTACATAAAGAAATCTTGACAGTACCTGAGTATCCACACGGGTTTATGAGCTGTTAATAAAAGAATACTGTTTTACTTCCATAATGTTTTTTATGACCTCATTTCTCAGTGCAAATGAGTGAATGCAATGTATTCATTGATATATTATTGTAGCTTGTACCTTGTGGCATTCATATTTCTTTTGAACATAATTATTTTAATTTCTATATCATAACTCATAAATTGTACCATTAAATGTGTTCACACAGTGTTCTGAAATGTATAAATATAATGTTGAAAATGAGCATTTACTTTTGTCCATGGATAGAATTTTAAATGAAATGTTTTCAGATGATCCTCTACTTTGTTGTTGTTTTTTTTTATTGAAGTTATTTAATCATGCAGGTATCCCTGTGTGTGGTTTACACTGGAGGCAACATTGGAATCACCTAGTTATTCACCACTGTAAAGATGAAGTGCTGTTCTTAACCACTTTAGTTTGCATGGTCCCGCTTTTCCTTTTAAAACCCCCTACTTATCCCCAACACGCCACCCATACTCACACCCACCCACACACGCTAAATAATTAAATGCCTAAGATTTGAATTTAAATTGATTAAAAATAGCATGCATAGAAACTTTTTAAAAATTTCAAGACAGTAGTTCATAAAAACACACAAAAACTTGTAAAATGTAACTCAGTGAATTTTATTTTTTATTGTGTTTTTTTTTTTTTTTTGTTTGTTTACTAATAATTTTTTAAATTTTTAAAGCTTAACATGTCAATAAAAAAAAATAACAATGATTAGCTTTCTTTTCTTTCATTTTTTTTGACTTTTTTGAGTGGAGCCTGGGTCAGTGGCAAAATGTCATCTGTTCAGAATGAAGAGATAAAATAAATAAACTTATACTTATAAATATAAAATAAATTTGCTATATTACCAACTTACAATTACAACAGTCTCGTAATTTTTTTTTTCAAATCAACATAACATTTTCTCATGATTGTACAATTCATTTTTGTAATAATGAGAAAAAATTTGCTGCATGTGTGTATAGTCCTCTGGTACTATGGCAATGTTATCAAATATTTTAATTTAATTATGGCAATTAGCATAAAATAACAGAGTGAGATGATTGGCACATATGGACATACAATATCTAGGTGGGCAACATTAATTACAATAAAAAAAGTGCTTCGTTTTAATAATTTACTTTTTTAAACACAAAATAATTCTGTCAACTTGACTTAAAGATCTTGTATAGTTGTGTACAAGTTAAAAGTTTATTAAATAATAAACAAAGGTGGCAACATTCTTATACTTATATGTAGAATGTAGACCTAAATGTATTGACTAGACCTAACCAAAGCCATTGACTTAAGCCTAACTCAATTTTTTTACTTGTAGACCTAACTAAATCTATTGACTGTAAGCCTAACTAAATCTATTGACCTTAGACCTAACTAAATCTATTGACTGTAGACCTAACTAAATCTATTGACTGTAGACCTAACTAAATCTAAATTAATAACTATTCATTTCGTTAAGAATTTTTATCTAAATATATATTATTTAGTATTTGCGTCCCTTAATTATGTTGAGGTCTAGAACACTAAACCCCACTTCTGGATACTGGTACCTGAGAACACTAAACCCCACTTCTGGATACTGGTACCTGAGAACACTAAACCCCACTTCTGGATACTGATACCTGAGAACACTAAACCCCACTTCTGGATACTGGTACCTGAGAACACTAAACCCCACTTCTGAATACATGAGAACGTTAATCCCTTAATTCTGGATACCTGAACGCTAAAATTCTGAATATCTGAAGACCAGCCCTTCTTCTGGATACCTCAATTCAAAAGCTCAGTTATGGATCCGAACACTAGCTCCACTTCTGGTTATCTGATCGCTAAGCTCTGCTTCTGTATTCATGAATGATAAACCCCACTTCTGTTTACGTGAATGCTAAACACCACTTTTGTTTAACTGAATGCTAAACCCTACTTCTGGATAGCTGAACCCTAAACCACACTTCTGGATAGGGGAATGATAAACACAACTTCTGCATAGCTGAAGGCTAAACCCCGCTTCGGGACAGGTGAATGTTCAACCCCACTTCTAGATAGCTGAATGTAAACCCCGTTTCTGGATAGCTGAATGCTAAATCCAACTTCTAGATAGATGAATGCAAAACCCCACTTCTGGATAGGTGAATGTTAAACCACACTTCTGGATAACTGCACCATAAACCACACTTCTGGATAACTGCACCATAAACCACACCTCTGGATAACTGCACCATAAACCACACCTCTGGATAACTGCACCATAAACCACACCTCTGGATAACTGCACCATAAACCACACTTCTGGATAACTGCACCATAAACTACACTTCTGGATAACTGCACCATAAACTACACTTTTTGATAACTGCACCATAAACTACACTTCTGGATAACTGCACCATAAACTACACTTCTGGATAACTGCACCATAAACTACACTTCTGGATAACTGCACCATAAACTACACTTCTGGATAACTGCACCATAAACTACACTTCTGGATAACTGCACCATAAACTACACTTCTGGATAACTGCACCATAAACTACACTTCTGGATAACTGCACCATAAACTACACTTCTGGATAACTGCACCATAAACTACACTTCTGGATAACTGCACCATAAACTACACTTCTGGATAACTGCACCATAAACTACACTTCTGGATAACTGCACCATAAACTACACTTCTGGATAACTGCACCATAAACTACACTTCTGGATAACTGCACCATAAACTACACTTCTGGATAACTGCACCATAAACTACACTTCTGGATAACTGCACCATAAACTACACTTCTGGATAACTGCACCATAAACTACACTTCTGGATAACTGCACCATAAACTACACTTCTGGATAACTGCACCATAAACTACACTTCTGGATAACTGCACCATAAACTACACTTCTGGATAACTGCACCATAAACTACACTTCTGGATAACTGCACCATAAACTACACTTCTGGATA